CCTGCAATACTTTCAATTTTGCTGTATTGGGCTTTCTTTATAAATTCTATTTTTTTCTATTTTATGACTGTAAAAGTTTTGGTACCCCTGGAAGAGATGGGAAACCCCACATTTACCGAGTCCTAGAGTATCTCTATTCTTTAATCTTGCCAAAATCATACTACGCGACTATACTGTTTTGTGTATGGATATTGTAGCTGTAGCCAAAGACCTATGTATTTGCAGAAACGAAGCTCAAGAAGCCTTTAAGGTAATATTATCACCTTTAGAAAAGTAAGATTTTAATGCTGATAAGTCACTTACAATTTTAAAGAATGAAGTTACATGAGAAACAAAAAACTTGATAGCATCATCTAAAAGATGCTTTTTTTCTTTTTATGGTTGAGTTTGACATCGCACCAACACTGTAAAGGTCATATAGAAACAATGGAGGAAGACCTCAGGTTCCACTCTGTGCATTATTTTAGGCATGAGCAGGCACCAGAGTAAAACCACCAACATTACGTAAGCTAACTAGATAGCTTCCCCCATGAAAGAATCCAAAGTTCCTGGTGGGATTCTAAACCACAGTAGTGAGGAGCAAGTGATTTGAAGTCAACAAAACCACACCCCCTAAAATATGCTTTTATAACTTTAGATTATGACAAGATTTATGAATGATTACTCTTTTTCTTTTTCAGCAGCTAATTATACGAAAAACTTGATAGAGGACCTGATCAAACAATGCTATACAAACAGTTTGGTAATAATCAATCAATTAATTCATAACATGAAGGACCTCGTGCTCAAATTGTTTTTCTTTTTTAAGAATGAATGACCCTGCTGAAATACCGTTTACATGACTGAACATGAAAGCGTATGCTACCACTATGATTAACAGAAATAATGTTCTCCTGTTTTCAAATACTTAAATGTTTTACTTTACATTTTAAAACTTGTATATAACAACATGAGAAGTTCTATTGTCATTCTGTGAGGAAATTATCAATGAAATCCCCAGCATTATACCACAAAAACCCTGTTTTATGATTGATTGCATGTACTTTACCTTTGAATGATCAACAATCAATCATTTTGTGTTAACTTTGTTTTCATCACCTATCATCAGCCAGGAGAAGCAGAGAGAGAAAGGAAGTATAGCAGGATAAGATTGAAGATAACAATCCTTAATTTCATGCTGGTTTGGAAACACTTTTCTTACATCTTAATAATACATTTATACATTGAAAATATCCATCATGTGTTGCTGATCAGAAGTTATGTGTTGCTGTTTGCATCAGAATATCTGTTGTCCAAATGGTACCTGTCCATGGCCATATAAGCTATCTTTTATATTGCTATTTCTATACAGCAAGCTTACAGAAGACTCAGGTGCTTGCTTATGCTTGAAATAATGTATGGAGGGACACCTGAGGTATTAACTTAATCAGTAAAATTGGAAAGGTCCCTTTACAATGTCAGTATTACATGTGTTTAAATGTTGTTATGAATAACATTATTTCTTACAAATTTTTTGTTGGGTTTCAACAATTCACTTGACCTATTATTATGAAGTGTGAAGAAGTTAATTTAAAATCTGAAGGAACAGGTTTTGACTTTAATTTACAAGAGAAGGAGCAATGCAAAGTGTAAAGGAGCAATGCAACATGCAAAGGACCATTTCTAAGTGTTATGGAGCAATGCAAAATGTAAAAGAGCATTGTTAAGTGTAAAGGAGCAAAGCAATGTGTAAAGGAGCAATGAAAAGTGTAAAGGAGCAATGAAAAGTGTAAATGCTAAGTGTAAAGGCGCAATGAAAAGTATAAAGGAGCAATGAAAAGTGTAAATGCTAATGAACAGTGTAAAGGAGCAATGCTAACTGAAAAGTAGCATTGCTAGCTAAATGTAAAGGAGCAATGACAAATGTGACAATGCAATGCAAAGTGTGAAAGAGCAATGTTATGTGTGAAACAGTGATGTAAAGTGTGAAAGAACTATGAAAAATGTAAATAAAATAACAATGACAAGCATGTAAGAGCAATGCAAATATGAAGGCACAAAGTAAATGTGATGAACCAATGAAAATTGATATAGGGGACTGCCAAGAGTGAATAAGCAATGAGGTGCAAAGAAGCAATGAAAAGTATGTATAGGGAATAATTTAAAGTGTAAGGTAGCAATAATTTGAAGTGTAAATGAACCATAAATTATTTATTAAAATTGTGACAGAAATATGATTTCTTAAGTATGAAGAAATAATTTTAACAGCATATGAAAGGCCCTGACTGTGAAAAACTAAACTAACAAAATGATAGTATTAAAGGTGGGGGTAATTAAGCAGATAGAATACACAGACTAGCAGTCATCAAACAGTCAGATATAATGCTGTACATCATCTCTTGTTGAAGGTGGGTAGATAATTGCTGATGAGATGGTTTGTTATGACAAGATATAATCACAAACTACTGGTTGGTTCACCTTCTCCTGCACACAAGTTTTCTCGTTAAATATGCAATGTCTGTTATAACATCTATACTAACTTTTACTATAAGTAAAATTAACACTGTGATCACATAAAACAACTGATAATGAAATTGATTTGTAGAAACTTTAAAGTTATAATTGGTAACATAGCAGAGCAAAGCTAGATAAGGCAAAGGTGTTTGCATATCTATATGAAATTATACAAAGCACTGATATTTGAGAAAATATTAAAGTATTTTTAACACAATCGTACTCTGTTTGGGAATAGTAGTTTACAACAGAGGACAATGACTTTGTCTTCATACTATAATGATTATATCTGTGGAGAGTTTCCCTATTGCAGACAGTCGTATTGGTACGCGTTTAACTTTTGAGGCATGGAGGAGCATGTGACCTGTTTTCGGTACATGGAGGAGCATGTGATCTGTAAACCGTTCATGATTGGTTAATTGACCTTTTCGAAAACATAGCTAAATACCGTTTGCCGGTACATTACGGATTTACCTCTAGGGAATTAGTCCGAATTACATTTAATTTACAATAAAAAACTATTACGTGATATTTCTAATTTTCTATAATTATTTTACCGTTTAAGGTGGAAAAACTTGAATGATGTGTTTGAAAATTATCAATGTTTCTTTAATATCTATCTCAAATTATTACAAACAATAAATTGTTTATACTGAAAATCTACAAAATTAAAATATTCGTAGTGGCATCTGCCATACTAAATAGAGATATTACTTGTGCGTAAACTTTTGTGTTTACTTAAATTTTTTTGCTCGGAATTATTCAGAAAATGGTATTTAATCATTTTCTAAAAAAGAAATAATTGTTTTATGTTCAACCTTTTCCGGTCTCAGGTCTTTAACGGTCACTAGTTTCCAAAGACCTTCTTCTATATTGATCGATTATTGTAAACTATATTCCTGATACAAACGTTTATTTACCCCCCCCCCCCCCAAACAATGTTGAAAATAGTTAAATGAAATATCTTTATATCATTAAAAATGTTCCCCGGCAGGAAACTATTTTACTTGTTATATAGTTTGTTACCCTTTAGAAAATCTATATCTGTAGATCAAACAGCAAACCTACTTAGCCAGTAGTAAGTCTGGACAAGGTAAACAATTAAAGCTGAACAGGTAAACAATAAAACCTGAACAGGTAAACAATAAATCTGGACAGGTAAACAATTAAATCTGGACAGGTAAACAATTAAACTTGAATAGGTAAACAATAAAATCTGAACAAGTAAACAATTAAATTTGAACAGGTTTGTTTGTTTGGGGTTTTATGTCACATCGACACAGTATAGGTCATATCGCGACATTCCAGCTTTACTGGTGGAGGAAGACCTAAGGTGCCCTTCTGTGCATTATTTCAGGCACGAACGGGCACCTGAGTGGAACCACCGACATTCCGTAAGCTAGCTGGATAGCTTCCTCACATGAAAGAATCCAAAGTCCCTGTCGGGATTCGAACCCACAGCAGTGAGGGGCAAGTGGTTTGAAGTCAACGACCTTTACCACTCGGCCACAGACGCCCCTATTTGAACAGGTAAGCAATAAAACCTGAACAGGTAAACACTTAAATTTGAACAGGTAAACAATTAAATTTGAATAGGTAAACAATAAAACCTGAACAGGTAAACAATTAAACCTGAACGGGTAAACAATTAAACCTTTAAAGAAGAAATCAAACAAAAAAGCCAAGTTACAAGGTAGATGGAAGTTACTCTAAGTATGAAAATGATGGATTTGCTCCCAGTCAGTGGTATAATGGAATCTTTAACCTATAACTGACCTGTTCTCTGTAAACCACATCAATAACAATGTAATAACATCTAACCCTACATGAACTTACATGTTATTACTATGTACATGAGATCTACATGTTCAATCAACATGTACTCTACCAATGAGACAAATATCTTGGCATAAATGACCTTCATATTTCCAAGCATTTTATTACTAATATATTAAACAGATTTTTTTTAGGAATTGTTATATTTATAAGAATAAAACATACTTTTACAGACAAAATATGCAACAAGATAAAAAGAGATTTTGTGGTTCAAAGCCAATAAAGGCAGATTAAATCATGAACTATTTTTGTATTTAATGTTATCATTTTAGCTTTCAACAAGTCTTCATTAGATCAATTAAATGCAAACATACAACTGTATAATATTTCCAGCTAAGAATTAATTTGATATTCTTATGCTGATGTGATGTAGAATTCAACCAATAATATACAAGAGGGCTCTGATGGCCAGGGATTGTTGTTGCTAGAGAAGTTCATGAATTCCTCAATGCAAAGGTAGGTCACTAGCTCATAGTAAGTGTCATCCAAGGTCAAACTCTGATATCACACAATGCTAAATCTTTGTAAACTAAGTGAACTGAGAACTGCACCAATTTTGACATCAGGTGCTATCACTAAATGACTAAATGAACTGGAAGGAAAAAACTTTAACTGTGCTCCACCAAATATTTTCAGGAAGCCTAATAAAAAAAAATGACTTTTAAACAAACCTTTTATTTCCATGTATAAGCATCTCTTGACTATCTCCGTTTTCAATAGTGTCCCGTTTTGACGGCACTGGACTCCGGTGCCGTACTTGAGGATTGTTTCCTCCGTAATAATCTTTCAGGAACTGGTCATATTCCTGAGTTTGGAGACCGAAATCGGACGAGCTACCAGTGGTTGCACCGTCCACAACTATATGTATATTATCTGTGCTGTTAGTAATGTCCGGTCCGGAGGAGAAAACTTCTCCACTTGTGTACAAAGAGGAGGGTGTGGCAGCGGTCTCCCCAACATTGTCTTCAGCAAGGTCAACCATAGACTTGCACAAATCTGTTATTAAAAATATATATAGAATATGATTTATTTATGTATTAATATTTGATGTCAATATTACCTAGATAAGGTCATTCTTACAAACACTAGATAGGAGAGCATTGGCCATTATTGAAAAACAGGTAACAGTTAAGAAACAGGCAACCTCAATCATTGTATCAAAGAAACTCTACAGACATTTTGTCTTTCAGAACTGATAAGATTCCTTTACAAAAAAGAAAAAAATAGAAAAGGAAAAAAAAAAAAATCAACATATTTTTATGGAAATGATTATGAAAATAATTATCTAACCTGCTTCATCTATGACAGGAAGAGGAGAATTACGACAGTCCACGTCCAATGACGGGCAGGAAGAACTAAATCTGGCTAAATTCTCTTTCCTTAACTCCTGAAAATATATAAAATTATATTAAACACATGTTAAAATCGTATTCATGATCTAATAAACTAACTTAAACTATCATAATAAGCCAAAATTACACCAAACTGATAATCAATATTCAACAGTTAAAATAGAAATCACAAATTAAAAGGGCACAATAATAATACAAAAGCTACCAAATTATTGAAAAGGTGTGACGGGGGTGGGGCAGTATGTATGATTGAGGTGAAAGCATCTAAGGCATAATAAAAATACAAAATCAAAAAGTCTAAGTCTGGATTTTTTTCTTCAAAGTAAAAAATTATCTAGTTTAACTTTATAAAGTGAAATAAAAAGTTTTCTCCATTATTTCCATTCTGTATTGTCTCTTTCGCTAATCTTTTCAAGAAATTTCTTAGCTTTATTACCCTTATCTATATTAAAGATCAACACTAAATTTCATTTTTTTTTAAATGAAAAAACTTGTTTTTAGCAGCAACAACAGCATAGGGTTCGGACTAATCTACAAGGATCAATGCAGTCTATGCGAAAGTCAATTTTTTTTTCAGGCCACAAGGACCGAGACCCTTAGGTTTATTTCGGCCCGGATGATATTTTTTTCCGGCCCAGACATTTCAAGCATTATTTTAAAATACCTCGGTTGAATGTAAAAATGATTGTCTTTCTTTAAATTAGTGAGACCCATCAATATAGAAACATAAGAAGATGCTGACCAATTGAAATAACTTAAGCAGGGTTCTCACTAGGATTTTCAAAGGAGGAGTCCTTGGACTCCCAAGCACAGAAAAGTAGGAGCACAGAGCACGTTCAATATGTTAAGCCATCTTTGCTGCATTTATGCAGTTGACGATTATGATGTATTATACAGTATATAATCAGAGTAAGCTAGGGTTTGGAGAGTCAGAGTTTGAACAGAGAAAAAGCTTATTATTCAGGAAAATGGTAGTATGTCCCAAATGGAATACACTGTACCGTAAAATTGATTGAAAAGATTTGAAATATAATTTCAAAAACCCTACATCATCAGACCATTATGCTGTTTTCTTCCAGATTCACTCCACACACCCCCCTTCCAAAAGAAAATATTCATTGTATGTGACAAACACATACTGGTAAATTGTAACCTCCATCTCAACTAATGTGAACAATATCTTTAGTAATTTTAATTCTTAAACTACATTTAAGTGTTATTACACACATTTTAACAAAACAAAGTTTCCTTTTGGTTACGATTTTTTTAATTACAAAAAGCGGCATCGCGAAAATGTGTGACAATTGAAAATTTGTCTGTTTCCTGCAGAAACATTCACAATTCTACTTATTGTTGATTTTGATTAATTTAGATTAAACATTTTTTGATGATTTCAAGATTGTTACTCATCGGCTATTTCAACAGGCATCATAAAACAAAATTTTAAAATCTGTAATTTACGGCAAAATTTAACGTTGCTGAAGACAGAGTTGACTGGTATTTATTTGACAGGTACAAAATAGATCTAAGGTTGGTCAATATCTTCTTTAATAAATTCTTTCTATCACCGGGAACTTGTTATCAATCAGGTCATTGATATTTTTAACTTTTTGAAATTTTATTCGGACATGAGGACTGACGGAAAGGAATTTTTCTCGGACCGCATGATTTTTATTCAGCCAGGACCGAGGACCAACGGACTTTCGCACAGACTGTCAATGTCTAACATAATAAAAGTGTTATTCAAACATTTACACAGATGTGATCAATTACCTTTAGAACAGTAGTATATTTTTACATTTCTTAATAATTTCATCTTTTTAACCGAGATACTTTTCACTGTGTAACTAATAGAAATACTTTGCAGCTAAAAGAAGAACCAAGATAATGTATTTACCACACAAGCAACAAAAAACTTGCCAAATTCCCATAATTTTTGGACTAATCAGTGTCAAATTTTATAAAGTTACTACTGCATAAAGAAGATAAGAAATTTTGCAGCATAAAGCATGTTTGTTCTAATGTATCCTGCAACTATAGTAACTAGTTTAGAGGAATAAACCAGACCCTGTCTCAAAACAAGAATCTCTCCTACAATAACAGACTACACAAGTAAAAATTCATTCAAATTGGGTACTTATATAATACACTGGAAACCCAAACACTTGATAAAACATTAATTAATTTAATTAATTGGATATTCTATTTTGGGAAGATTTGGGATTAGGCTGCTATATGTCATTTGTTGACATTATCTTTAAAAAAATTTCTATACAAAGACTTTTCTGACATATTGGTTACTTTAGGCCTAAAAGTGCATCATTTTTAGAGGGTACCCTTTCTGCAGACTGTATACTGCTGGCAGAAACCAATATTACCATAAGCATTCAGTAAGTAACTATATAGATAAGATTTTCTGTTTTCTAATTTCTTCAATTCCTGTTTACTCTGTTGTAATTAGTTTTCAAGGTAAAACCAATCCGACAAGAAAACCAGATGTCTGCTGGGAAACTGTCTGTGATGATCTTTTTTTCTACATTTAACCCAGTTACTTTTAATGGCTTCAAAATGGATGTGATTTTTGTTTACAGCTGTAAAATATCTTATATAATTGCTGTTTTTTTCTTCATCACAAAGTTAAGCTTTAGGGATAAATTTAGACATTGTTGTTTATTATTGATAAGATAAAGGCATGATAATGGCACGATAGTTTTCTCAAAGATAAAAAACAAAACTATTGTCATAAGCACAGGCATATCTTTCTGTAAAGCTATATTCTGAAATATATCATGATGGAATATTAAAGAATGCATTGTTTTTTATTAAATTGAATACTAAATAAATAGGTAAGGTACAAATAGAAAACATAATGGACAAACAGACTATCTTATGAAGGAAAATGTATACATTTATAAGAAAACCATAATAAAGTATCTATTAAAACAAGCAATTATCATAGTATTGCAAGCAATCCATAAGTCCCCTACCGGTTAGAACCCCAGCAACTTTCTGATGGGCCATTGGCCAGTCAATTTTACCAGTGAATGAATGACATGAATGAACTTAAATCTTTTGAGTTCAAAGTTTGTTTATATCACAGTAATGTGTTAAGTTTCCCTGCCTAGTAAGGAAATTATGTTTATACAACCTTGTCATATTATTACGATGTATTTAAAAAAGACAACATTTTTTTTTCATAAAAATTCTAAGTTCAAGGGAGGTAAAACTGATAATTTTTGTGCTAGAGTTGTAAACCTTGTCACATATGATGTGGCTGATGACCAGAAACTTATATTTTAAGTTTGAAGTAAACACCTTAAGAAATAAAGAACTTATAGTGAAAAAGCTGAAAAATTTAAATCAGAAATCTTGAAATTCAGGCTATTTGTTGCCATAGCAACAAGAATTTTTAACATAGGAAGAAAAGAAAAAGATGTGCATAATCTCCAGACTACCATCTACCCATATTTCAAGTTTCATAAAAATATTTTCAGTACTTTTGAGTTATCACTGGATCCAGTTTATGTGTTAAATTTGCCATATTTTCAGACTATTTGTTGCCATAGCAACCAGAATTTTCAACATAGGAAGAAAAAAAAAAGACCAGAATTTTCAGCATAGGAAGAAAAAAAAAAGACGTGCATAATCTCCATACTGCCATCTATCCATATATCAAGTTTCATAAAAATATTTTCAGTACTTTTAATTTGCGTTATCGCGGGATCCAGTTTATGTGTTCAATTTGTCATATTTTCAGGCTATTTGTTGCCATAGCAACCAGAATTTTCAACATAGGAAGAAAAAAAAAGACGTGCATAATCTCCATACTGCCATCTATCCATATATCAAGTTTCATAAAAATATTTTCAGTACTTTTTGCGTTATCGCGGGATCCAGTTTTGTGGACGGACGGACTGACGGACTGACAGACAGACTGACAGACAGACAGACGGACGGACGGAGGGTAAACCTAAAGTCCCCTCCGGTTAAACCGGTAGGGGACTAATAAGAACAAGCAATTATCATAGTATTGCAAACAATCCATAAGTCCCCTACCGGTAAGAGCCCAAGCAACATTCTGAAGGGCCATTCACTTAGGTTCCTATTTTAAGTAAATTTGTTGAAAAAGTTCTTTAAAAGTGATCACAGGAAACAGTTTTTATGTACAGACAGACGGACTGAAGGACACTCTAAAGTTATTTTTTAAACATCCCTGTTATCAAAATATAACATTTTTAAAATCCTATCATGATTGAAGAAGTTGGAGTAAAAATTACCAATTTCTCAAAAAAAAGTCTAAGTTCAAAAGGGGCATAATTCTGGAAATAGTCTTGCTAGAGTATTGAACACTCGCAAATGTTGAGTGACAATAAGAAACATTTATATGAAGTTTGAAGTTACTGTAGATACATTCAGAAAAAGAAGTTATTAAAAAAAAACAATGTTTTTTTCATGAAAATTTTAAGTTCAAGGGAGGTAATTCTGATAAATTTTGTACTAGAGTTGTAAACCTTGCCACATATGATATGGTTGATGACAAGCAACTTATATTTAAAGTTTGAAGAAAATACCTTAAGAAATAAAGAACTTATAGTGAAAAAACTTAAAAACTAGAATAAGAAATCTTGAAATTCAGTCTATTTGTTGCCATAGCAACCAGAATTTTCAACATAGGAAGATAAGAAAAGGATGTGCATAATTTCCATACTGCCATCTACCCATATGTCAAGTTTCATAAACATATTTTCAGTACTTTTTGTGTTATCACTGGATCCAGGTTATATGTAAAATTTGCCATATTTTCAGTCTATTTGTTGCCATAGCAACCAGAATTTTCAACATAGGAAGAAAAGAAAAAGACGTGCATAATCTCCATACTGCCATCTATCCATATATCAAGTTTCATAAAAATATTTTCAGTACTTTTTGCGTTATCGCGGGATCCAGTTTATGTGTAAAATTTGTCATATTTTCAGTCTATTTGTTGCCATAGCAACCAGAATTTTCAACGTAGGAAGAAAAAAAAAAGACGTGCATAATCTCCATACTGCCATCTATCCATATATCAAGTTTCATTAAAATATTTTCAGTACTTTTTGCGTTATCGCGGGATCCAGTTTTGTGGACGGACGGACTGACGGACGGACAGACGGACGGACGGACGGACAGACGGACGGAGGGTAAACCTAAAGTCCCCTCCGGTAAACCGGTAGGGGACTAAAAACCATAATAAGGTATCAAACTTTTAAAATAAAGCACTTTTCCCCTTATCCTTGTACTTTAACATAATACATGTAAAACTGTTCCCATGAAAATATATGACTGAAGAAAGGTAAATCTGTTGGGAGGAAATCTTTGAGGCTATGTCCCTGGCTAAAAGCATTGTGATTAAAGTTAAGATTTTTCTCTCTGTTTATTCTATTGTTATTGTTAGGTCACTGTGATTTCATATATTATTTAAAGTTAGATTTTTCTCTGTTTATTCTATACTTAATGTTAGGTGAAACTGTTTTACAGTGTAAAATATAATTATGCTCAATAAAATGTAACAAGTTAAACATGGAAATATGATAAAAAGATATAATTAAATCATTAAATACCAGGCAAAAAATAAGATAAAATAAAACTACAAAGAAAGGTTTTAATTAATGCCTCTATTCATGAAATCTCACCAATAATGTCCTGTGTTGCTGCAAGGGAAGAAAGTTCACATGTTCAATTAAAATGTTTTGTAAATAAATAATGACGTTAATCAATTAAACATCAAAAGTATGAACTAATTAACTCCATTATATTATGTCAGGTATGACACTGACTCTAGTGCTGAAACTGGCAAATGCTGCCAAACTTTAACTACCAATATAAAGTCAGTAAGTGTAAGGGTTTTTTGATATTGAAAACACTGCATAGAAATGTAAACAAAAAAACCCAAAAGGCAGTACATTTAGCTTATGTTTCAAGCACCTTATGCAGGCTTTGTCTTTATCACAATACTCTACAACACCTCTCCAATAAACTACTTATTTCACCAACTCAATTTTATGCTTGGACGGAAATCTAAAACATACAATCCTAATTAAATGTTCATTCCTAAATCAATTTAAAAAGAATAATTATGTTTATACTTCTTTCACATTCCATTTATTATACATATTAATGGACGAACCTTGATGCCAGATGGATAGTGCACTTGACAATTTCCAGTGATCAAGAGCCTCGGCATAGCCAAATTTTGCTAAAATCACAAACGGGAATAACTTACTGAAATTATGTGCTAGATTTGTAGGCCTTAGTTGATGACCTACAATTATGACCCTGACGTAAATACTTCAGTAGTTAGAAATTTGAAAATCCCCAATATTGCTTTTTTTTCATAATCAAGATATAAAAGCTTGCTACCTTAAGGTACACAATAATTATATATAAACATGTAAAAGTACTTTAAAAAAATCAGGTGTTTATTTAAAAATTATAAACAAAAGATTATTGGAAACCCCACTTTCATCCCCTGTGTTCATTTATCATTCTTTTATCAAAAATTTTACAAACTACTAGAAGATAATATAGAAAACTCAAGATAAAACTGTATACTTTTCTTTGTACAAGTTTCCTAATTTTCAGCAGGAGAAGCAAGAAAACTGAGATCAAGAAAAATAAACACAATAATAATGAAATGTTAAAAGTTTGAATTTGCAATGATCCCTCCTACACTTAGTTTACAGACCTCAGAAAATAAACATCAACAAGAAACATGAACATATGGTAGTATGACGTATATCTGTGTATTTCTATGAGCCGTATGACGGAACCAGTCTTCAAAACAATCATAATGGTGTATATATTGAACATTCTTTAAATGATTGCCGCTATATGTCAGACAAATATTCATGATGTCATTGCTAATTGTCCGCAGTTTCTGTAATACATATGCTATAAGCTTATGAGGTATATCTGCTACTGGGAATGTCTTCTTCTAGGGTATGTCAGCTAACTTGTTATGCAAGCTACTGGATATGTCTGCTACTCGGTATATCTACTACTCTGTATATCTAGCTACTCTGTATATCTACTATTCTGTGTATCTAGCTACTCGGTATATCTACTCAGGGCTCTAGCTAGACCACAATTTTAGGGAGAAGTGACTTCTCCCTCAGCTCCTATCAGGGAGAAGTTTGACGACATAAGGAGAAGTGAAAAAGTGCTTAGCACATTGATAAAAGGAGTTTTACCTATTTATTGATAGTGATATTTGAAGTATAAATTCTAAAACCCTCTATCATCAGACCATTATAATGATTTCTTCCTGATTAACTCCACACACCCCCCTCCCTTAACAAAATATTCATTGTACAAAACATACTGGCAAAATTCTCAATCAAAATTAATGTAAACAATACCCTAAGAAATTTTCATTAATAAACTACATTTTAAGTGCTATTGGACACATTTTAACAAAACAAAATCGGCATCGCGAAAATATGTGACAAATGAAAATTTGTCTGTTTCCTGCAGAAACAGTTACAATTCTAGTTGTTGTTGATTTTGATTATATTAAATTAAATATCCAATGATTATTTTTAGATTGTTATTCATCCTCTATTGCAACAGGCATTGTAAAACAAAATTTTCAAATTTGTAGCTTACCGCATAATTTACCGACGTTTATGTCACTTTTTGAAGACAAAGTTTACTGCTGTTTTTGACCAAAATTGGTCTAATGTGGGTCAATATTTTTTAAGTTCTTTAACAAATTTCATTTTTACTATCAAACAGGTATCAAACCATTTACTTGTGCTTCTGTGTGTATTTATATGCAAGTAAATTTACACGGTCTGTGTGAGGTTGCGTGTAATTACTGTCAAATATGGTAAGAGCAATTCCGGGTGTAATCTTTTTACACTCGCTGATAAAATAGTGACAGGTGTCGTAAAATTATGCTTAAAAAATGTGATGTTTACATCGGCGAATTAAATGGCTATAATGTCCGATGCATCTGCATATCATGTCACTTAAATGTGTTAATTGATGCCAATTATCGGCAGTAACTGTGCGTCACTAATACAGTTTGATTTATGCCTGGAGGCGAGGATTAACTTAATAAACATGCACTGTATGATATTTGGTCAGTAAAAAAGCGCGGCGAAGTCGTTTTCGCTTTGATGTTCAAACTCGGCGAAGTTCTGAAACTTTAGGCGACTAAGTCGCCCAAAACGCCCAGTTGCTAGAGCCCTGCTACTACTCTGTTTATCTACTACTCTGTATATCTAGCTACTCGGTATATCTACTACTCTGTATATCTACTACTCTGTATATCTAGCTACTCGGTATATCTACTACTCTGTATATCTAGCTACTCGGTATATCTACTACTCTGTATGTCTACTACTCTGTATATCTAGCTACTCGGTATATCTACTACTCTGTATATCTAGCTACTCGGTATATCTACTACTCTGTATATCTACTACTCTGTATATCTAGCTACTCGGTATATCTACTACTCTGTATATCTAGCTACTCGGTATATCTACTACTCTGTATATCTAGCTACTCGGTATATCTAGCTACTCGGTATATTCTAACTACTCTGTATATCTAGCTACTCTGTATATCTAGCTACTCGGTATATCTAGCTACTCGGTATATCTACTACTCTGTATATCTACTACTCGGTATATCTAGCTACTCGGTATATCTACTACTCTGTATATCTACTACTCTGTATATCTAGCTACTCGGTATATCTACTACTCTGTATATCTAGCTACTCGGTATATCTACTACTCTGTATATCTAGCTATCTCGGTAATATCTACTACTCTGTATATCTACTACTCGGTATATCTAGCTACTCGGTATATCTACTACTCTGTATATCTAGCTACTCTGTATATCTAGCTACTCGGTATATCTAGCTACTCGGTATATCTACTACTCTGTATATGTCTAGCTACTCGGTATATCTACTACTCTGTATGTCTAGCTACTCGGTATATCTACTACTTGGTATGTCTGCTACTCGGTATGTCTGCTGCTGCTGGGTATATCTGCTAAGTACTTCTATTACTGGGTATATCTGCTAAGTACTTCTATTACTGGGTATATCTGCTAAGTACTTCTATTACTGGGTATATCTGCTAAGTACTTCTATTACTGGGTATATCTGCTAAGTACTTCTATTACTGGGTATATCTGCTAAGTACTTCTATTACTGGGTAAATCTGCTAAGTACTTCTATTACTGGGTACTTCTGGTACTTGGTATGTCTGCTACTAGATATGTTGAGATACACTGCAATATTATCTTGCAAAAATCTGCTTTAGATGTCAAATTGTCATGACTAACATTAAATGCTGTTCCACTATGTGAAGGTCATTTGACGAGGTGTTTGTTTGATATTTGAATTTCATATTTGAAGTTCCTTTGCAGCATATTTAGGTAATTCCCCTTTTTCTGGTTTGTAAGAAAAGTACCAGATTTAATGACGAAAAAGAAGCAAAGAGAATCAGGTGAGAATATAAGTAGCTAAAATACTTTGTATACAGTATGTATGAAGTCAATAAATTTTCATTTTTCCCTATATTCATATCTTAACATACAAAACTCATGCAAGTCATCATTAACAAATTATAATTAAAAACTCTTAGTCTCAAATGTCTGTAGACTCTTAGGAACTAACCTGTTAAACTTACCAAAATTCTGAATTCAAAGTGTAAAAAATCTTACCCAAATATCCCTTAAATATCCGTAAGAATCCAGTATATTCTGTTTAAACAATTCCAATATACCTCACAAGAAAATGTTACATAACTATCGATGACTAAAGCATATATACTACTTCTATCATCAAAGAGATACAACACTTATGTGTACCAACAAACTAGTCATAATGAAACAAATTAATGATGTTTTCTTTACCATCTTTTGATGCCAGCACTTATACTCACTACTGTAAACATAGTAACATTTGTGGTGATTTTATTTTGTTAACTTCTATCAAGTCAGCATTTTATATAAATACTGTAAAGTATCTAATTTAGATAATCACACCATTATTCAATAGACTGGTAGCAGGAATTATAGTGACTCATTTATACCACAGTCTAACCTAATGCCTTGTACTGATTGAAGCACAATTTTATTATTAGTAAAGAAATAATATATCCCAAACAGTGATTTTTTATCGCTAAATCAAATCACTGTTTGGAGTTCGAATGTAAGGAATTTATCGCAAAGGCATAGCCAGAGTGATATAATGATGTGCATCTGAATGACATCCATACCTGGTATTAAGCTAAATTACGCCTAAATTGTTTCATCACTTATTTTCAGAACGTCACATTTTTAATGGTTACTTCACATGTCTAAATATAGAATGTCAACAGTGATTTTATTGCATAATAACACACACTTTCGGTCATCTATGTTCAATAGAGAAAAATGCAGATCATATTAAAATTTGATATAATATACCCTTAAACTCACAATGAGGAACAAGCATATTCAGATAGCTCTGATCTAACTTAGTGACAGCCTGCAATACAACATTATAAAATAATTCACTAGAACTTTACAACATACAGCATCTTTTGTGAGGGCTGAACAAGAAACCTATTCTCACTAGTGTAAAAGTCAATACAAATTATTCTTAAGACTACTTCTTAGTTACTAACCACTGTTCGTCTATTAGTGTAAAAGTCATTTCAAATTATTCTTAGTTTATTTCTTTCAGTTAGTAACCACTGTTTTCCCGTTAGTAGTTCAAGCCTTTGTCTATTTAGTGCCAAATATTATGAAGAAAAATTAACAACATTACACCTGACTTTTTTCCGCTTAATTACACCTATATTAAACCTAAGTAATTAATTAGTTAAATCTATACCTGAACAGCATGGCCTCTTGTATAAATTCATGCTCAATAAACAAAGCTAATATCTCAATATTTACTCCTCAAAATTTGTTTAATTGACTCAATTGCCTGGCTTTGAAGTGAGAGCTGCCCATTAAAAATTTGAGGGATACAACAAAATGCTTAAATGAAACAGGTAACAGTCTAGTCAGTTTACAAATGTGATGCTATGTACTGACGATGCACACAACTGCCGTAACTAAAAAAACCTTTCATACAAGATAATTCTAAAAATACAATTATTTACACTTAAAAAATTTACTTAGCAGTCATTCTCAGTATGTCGTATTAACTTAACTTTCTCCAGAACACTTTCATTGTTTATAAAGAACTATTTTTCAAAGCTTTTGTAAAGTGAAGATTTCCTTTAGTATGCACAAAATGTTCTTTCTGCATTATTGTTACCATACATCTCCACGATATAGCTATTTTGGTACATTTGTATAACAAACAAAATTCAATACTCATTGAAATTACAACAATGTCACGGTAAACATTCTCCAATACTATTGCATTCCTATTTTCGTATAAAACACAGGTGTCTTAGGGGCAAAGCTTTTTTCAAAAATCTTAAAATAGCCGAGAAAGAAACAAATTAAAGTTACAGGAAAGGCTTCGACTGCTGAACAGTGCTGACAGAGTGTAAAGGTATGCCCTCGAACATTCCTGTATGAAATCAAATCATTGTACCAATTAAAAATAACTTCATGATCACTACTTGATGCTACTCACGACTTTTTAAAAACTTCGTCTCCGAAATAAGAAAATTTCAAAACTTACAAGATTGGCAAAAAATCAAAACAATTCAATAGAACATGCATTTTGTTTAGTTTAATTGCATGTTGTTGGTTTTTAATTACCAAACTGTATATCTTTTAGGATCTGAAATGCACCTGCAGCGAAAAATGTCTGCCCCCACTCGCTTCTTGCAAATTTTAAGTCTATCTTGAAACCTACTTGATGATCCATATTTGAAAATTATCACAACACAAAGTAACATGTGCTTAAAGTTAAATTGAAACTAAAGTGTAAACAGTGTCTTTTTTGAGACAAAGATCTCTAATGGCTTAATAAAAATAAATAGCATAAAAGTTTAGAGATGCACAAATGATCATTAGTGTCCAGCTTTATTTGTCATCCAATGAAAACGCTGTATTTCTTAAAAATTATGTGTGTTAATTTTCAAAGAAGAAAAAAAGTCGATACTATATTGAAATCCGTTCATAGTCGCCTTCTATTTTTCATAGTGCTTCATAGTACCGCGTAGTGACGTAATCAAGGGCCAAATAAAGCTTGACACTAAACATGTTAGTGTTCATCCTTAGCTGTTCTACAGAAATTAGAAACATTCTCCTGTCGCTATCGTTCCCGTCGAAGTTTCTAATTTCTGTAAGAACAGCACCGGAGAACACTAACATATACTTAATTGATTTTTGATTGACTTGACTTAGATAAATTGTCAACAAAAAATTCACGATCATCAGAGGATCAAACCAGTGACTCTTGGATTACTAATACAATTTCTCTCCTATTGAGCCAACACAGACAAACTGTAAAACTGCATAGATAGTTTAGTTTCGATCATTTCTCGCTTTCTATAAACTGCATAGATAACCAGTATATATATATACTTTAGTTATTAAAAAATTCATAGCTATTCAGTTTCTATACAACTGCAAAAATTACTGTAGATCTATAAACTGCACTGATCATAATTAGTGACTATAAACTAAAATAGCAGTTTTTTAGTTAGACAATTAAGTGACTATAAACTTTAAAGTTCATTTAGTTTCTATAAACCTGCAACTTGGACATATTTAGTTAAGTTTCCTAGTAACAACTTGAAGAATTGATTTAAACTTTTATAAAACTAAGCCAGCTCTGATCATTTTAGTTTCTATAAATGCATTGGACAATTTTAACGTTTTCATAAATTTTTAGATGATTTACTTTCTATTCAGGCCAGCTCTGATCATTCTAGTTTCTATAAACATTCATTGAAAAATAAGCTTCTATAAAATGCAAAGATAATTTTTTAGTATCCTAATAAAACATTAAAGTTAATTCAGGTCCTATAAACTTTATAGATTATTCAGTTTCCTATAAATTGCAATTTTTACAATTTAGTCTTATAAACTTTATAGATGATTTTAGTTTCTATAAACTGCACTGATCATTTATTTCGTATTTACTTGCATTGAAAAATTAGTTTTCTATAAACCCTGCAAAGATTAATATTTTAAGTTTCTATAAACTGCATGAAATCATTGCTCAAATTACACATAATAAAAAACCCTGATTCAGAACTGATGAAAAATTTTATCTCCTCTATTAATTTAGTAAAATGTATAAATATATAATAATATTTGTATAAATGGTTATCTCCCCATTCTCAGACAGAGATGTTTTTTTTTTTAAAGAAGTATATGTTACATTTCAACTTCAGATGCAGCATGCAGATTTTCACATCAAGTTACTAGATTAATGGAATATAAATCAATTCCCCTTCTGACTTCCAGCATAAACAACTTAATTTTCAAGATAGTTCCTCTTCAAACATGCAACATGTTCCAGAGAGTATCAGCTACGTGTCCAAAAACAGTTCGCAAAAATGTATATGAAATCTATCTCAAATTAGCAAAAAAAATATTCTTGTAATAAGGAAAAAAAACTTTAAACATTCGATCTTATTCATAACCTTGTCTGGTCCAATCAGTTAAAGTAAAAAAATCCAGAAGTTTTGCTTAAAAATCTTGTGATAACTTTTAACACACACACCTTGCAAACTGAGAGATTCCATTAATTTACATAGCTTAAAATTTTTTTTTCACAAAAAATAAAAATTAAAATTCTTGGTCATTTTGTAAAAATTCATTTGAGTCCAATGCAGTATGTGTTTAAAATCAACTTTTTTTCATTAATCAAATCAAATGTCAGAATCTATTATTGGTCTGACTATTGGTCCATTTCTGATGAATGAACAATCAGATTCCTTGACCTTCAAGATAGTTTCTTAAGTACTAGAAAACTTAAGTCTTCAAATGGTGTACCAAACGAAAACTTAATTTCAAGAAACCGAAGTCTTCTAAAGCCCAAACCAATATTTACTCTTCAAAGTTTTTTGATAATGAAAGCAACCCTAACACTTGGACCCCAAGAAATTTAAGTCTTTATGTCAAGAAAGCTTGCACCGAAGAAGATAATATTTCAGAGTTTGATAAAAAACTTACTCTTCAAAAATGAGCCAAGAAACTTATAGACACTTAATGCATCAAAGCTTTTGGACCAAAAAACAAGTGTCTAAAGCTTTTGACCAAAACACTTAAGGGGTTAAAGCTTCACACTAAGACTCTGCATATGCTAAAAAACAAAAACTAATTATTTGCAAGAAAAAAAATCACACACAATAAAAATGGTTTTATTTATTATCTTACAGATTTTTATATTTTGATAATACAAGGGTTTTCTTACCTGTTCCAGTATTCTCTTTGTTAAACACAGTACTTTTCTGTCTAATCCTTCAACAAATGTTTCGGGTTGTAACCCCTTAGTGCTGAAAGCGTCCTTCTACACTCTGCAAATAGATGTACAAGACCATACTTATGAGACCGATTCCATAAATCCATATATTGACAAAAGAATAAACTGCCTTATCTATACATTATAAAAATGTTTTTCATACACTTATCTAATAAATATAAATCCTTGAAATAAAACAGAAGGGTTACAGCTGACCTTTGTGTCTGATTGACAGAAATGTAATATTTTCCAGACCTTCAGGGGGTTTTGTTCGAAAAAGTGTAAGGTATATAATTATTTTGGGGTATTGTACACCAGCACAAATCCTCTATTAATTTCTGTATGGGTGCTCTAAGATCATTTCAAGTTTTCTTATCTTCCCTCAGAGATATACATACAGGTATATAGACTATATCAGGAATGTGAAAAACAATTGCTATGTATATAGTCTTACAACAATAGACTTTGGCTCATGACCCTTTTTTTTTTATTTTATATTTTTTATTATTTTCATTCTCAACTTGTAAAAAACAAACTGAAAGCCTTATTAACAAAAAAAAACGCATGCCAATTATTTTAATTTTTCATGGAATTGTCAATACTAGGTTAATTTACTTATTTATCAGTATCATAATCAAATTAAAGTATACATGTATTACTACATTTAAATAAATGATAAACAAACTGCTTAAATTCTATGCATAATTATCTGCCATAGCATTTAAGTTAAAAAGTGTGGAACATTCTAAATTACTGGTCCTAAAGCACAATTGACAATAGGCAATTTGTGTTCCAAATGCGTATGCTTTTCAGTATTGTTTCAAATCAACACTACCTTACATATTTCATTATGTATTTTTCAATTTTCTTTGTCAATGATGATATAAGAGAGGATTGGCTAGTGGGATTACATTTGAATAGGGTAGTTTGGGCCGGGTGCAAATTTTTAGTGACAGAGGTAAATTGTGTGAGTTTTAATTATGCCAAGTAAGCATTATTGTATTGTTTATATCAAGGATAATGTGGTTTGATATGTTCAGCATAATTTTGTGGTTACGACATTTTCAAAATTTAGTTTTTGGGGTTTGAATTGGCCTTTAATTTCAATTCACAACCTTCTTTATTTTGGGTCACTTGTTTAAAGGTATATTAAAAGTGGTGTAGGGGTTTGTGAGAATCATTACAGAGGAAGGACCAGTTTAATACTGGAACCCTCTCACCCACCCCAGTTTCATACTGGAGACCAGTTATACCGAGAACAAGTTCATACTGAAGGCCAGTTTCACAACTTGAGAAGCCATTTTCATACTAGAGGTCATTTCAATAAACTGGTAGAAGTTCAAATACTGGGAGCCATTCAACTGAGAGCCAAAATTTTGTTACTGGGTGAGTTCATACTGGGAGCCAGTTCATAAATTTGGAGCAAAATTTAATATTGGGAAAGCCAGTTCATACTGGTGTAGGTAAAAAGAGTTTCATTGATTTTATACAGGTGAATAACCTTAAATAAGCTAAATATTTTTCATTTCTGACTTATTCTACAAGATTTATTAAACATTATAATATTTTTGCTGTAACAAAAATTCTACTTTATAAATCTCAGGATACAGATTTTAATAAAGCTTTTGAAAAACTTTCATTTTCTCAATCTTTCATAATATTCCTAATGTAAATGGGTTTAGGGAATCAAATTATCTTTTAAACTGGAAACCATCTTTTTTTGTAAAGGTACATTTAATCATTTATTATCCAAAAGGTAAACTATTTTTTGTTGAAAAGGTTTGGGAAGTTAACTTTCCAGTTAAGATAAAAAAATTTCAAAAAATTCTAGAATTTTCAAATGGGTGATTCAAATTGAAAGATGACTGGTTAGTTAAAATGTTGTAATTATATGACTTCTCTGCCTACAATGTATTTTCTATTACACTCTCAGGCTTTGGTCTAGGCAGTAAACAACTGTATTATGACAGAAGACTTCAGGGGTCTGTGTGAGAGGAAACTGAAGTAGGACCTATTAAAGTGTAAGGGTATAGGACATACCAGGGTATTAGTGACCCTGGATCTCTCACATATAGTTTATCCATATAGAGGATAAATTGTAAGAACTAGTTCTCTGTCTCTGTCCAACATAGGCCAATCCTTGGTGCACCATTTATAAAATAACCCTGCCCCATCCCCCTTAGGGAGTGTAGGGGGAATTAGCCAGGTTTTTGCCAAGCACAGCATATAAGATAATCTGATTTTCTTCGTAAAAAAATTTCAGAGGAATAAGCCTAACTATCAAACACAAGAACATGTAGATAGAATTGTGTTGCTATCACATTTACCTGTGATTTACCAGGTCTCAAAGTCAGAATTCTCACTATAAAAAGAGCCAGGGTGTAACAAATGACTGTTACATAAAGCTCATCTTAAAATCCTTCATCTTTTTACAAGCTGTAATATTTCTCTGTTTTTTTTTTATACTAAACTAGCTTTAATCTGCAAACTCTGTTTATCTGTGAGCATAAGTAAATATAAAAACATACAACATTTGAATTTGATAACAAATTATCATTATTTAAATATTGAACAATAAACTGGGCATTACATTTTTTTCTTGATTAAATCCAGCCATATGCAATGGAATTTATAATCTTTTTTTTTTTTGGAATTTACAGAAATGTACATCTCTCAAAATAACTTTGTTTGAAGCATTTTGTAACTATAGTCTTACTTTACATTATTACAGTCAAACATATATTATTTAAAATAGAGTCTTGTTTTGGGAGTATTATTCAGGAAATCTTTTTAAAACCAAAAGTCAATTGGTCATTTGAGTGAGAAAGATAATCTATTTAAAATATGTGGACAGCATGGTTTAACAGTGTATGTATTATCTAGTTTATACTAATTTATTTTAGTTTGATTGTGTTGGAAGCTAAAAGCTTATTGAAACACTTTCGAATCCATACCTGGGACAAACCAATACTAAGCAATGCATGTAAAGTTTCTTGCTCACGGAAACAACAGCTTGCACCTGACAGGGTTTGAACTAACAGGGCATCAACGCAGCCATGCTGCCAAAATGGTAATATCTGATACCTTACTTCAAGAAAAGATCAGTAACTATTAATTAACTTATTTTTTTACCATTAAAGTTGCATTTACCTTAATTATTTACCTTAATTAGTGTCACCTGTTTTCTGTCAATAACTCAATAGTAATAGATTTAATTAATTGTCAGTTGTTTGAATACATTTTATGAATGCTTGATAATGAAACAATTTCTTGCAACTTGTATTAATCAATTATGTTTGATTATGTTTTATGGAAGTTATCAGCAATATTATACCTTATACAAATGTATTCCATCATTTACTAATGTGTCAGTGGACGTTCAAACTAGAACTGCCACTGTCATGGCGTGAATACCCCCGCATACCACTTTGTCAGAATCAACAGTGGCCATTTAGAGCTCAAGGACAAATCCCTGCCAAATCTGAGATTACTAAGTCAGTGCTATGTATTCTACATGCTTCAAATGTCAAAATGTCAAAATCAATACACTGCAGACAGGCATTCTTAAGCAATTGAGGGGAAAAGCTTTTTTTAGTCGACCTTTGACCCAGTGACCTCAAAATCAATAGGGGTCATCTACTAATCATGACTAACCTCCATGCCAAATATGAAGACTGTGGGTCCAAGGAGTAGGGATCAAACCCACAATCCAAACCTTGAGAGATAGGCACTTAATTCACTAGTCCACTACTTCCCTTTAACTTCACATTTGCATGAACAAATTGTCTCTGTAGGGTATTGATTCAAGTTACTTGGAAATAAATAGAGCTTGTACTTACAAGTTATTGATGGCAAAAAAAACTAAAAAACTTTCTAGTTTATCTAGTTTGAAAGTACAGACATAAATTATGTTCAAAGATTATAGATAAATATACTTATATCTTTTTAAATTAAGGTGTATCCTTCAGAGAAATTAGATGAATTATACCGGTAATATAAAGTTATATAAAATGCTCTACTTCTCTATTCACACTTATAACAAAAAACACCACACTATCTGCCTCACAGCTAATTCTCGAACTTTATATTTAGAAGCAAATTGGAAATAATTGCTTAAAAAATAGAAAACTAGACATTCAGCCAAAAAACTTGTCCAAATTAGAGAACACTTGTAATGAGGGTGCAATAAAAACGTGAAATATTCTGCCACAAAACAAAGAACTACTTCTCTATAATAAATTTCTACGGAGGTTGTTTATGTACTTTTAATTCATTATCTGTACCCCCATTAACTTGAAATGGACTTGCTGTGCTTTGAATTAAGACCTGACCATTGTTAGTTTTAGGGAGTTCAGTACAAAACTTGTAGGTCGCTGACCTGGAACTCATACTGGTAGCATTGATTATCATTACCATTGCTTGTGTTCAAAAAGTCAACATTTTATAATTCCTAAAGGTAACAAAAATGTAAAACAATATGGCATGTGAGTCTAAATTGATTATTTTCTGCATTTTTTTGAAAAGGAAGATTAATCTTTTTGGATTAAATTTAGAATTTTTAGTCTTTGCTAAGTGTACAGATCATAGTTAAATTATCTTTGATCTACAACAAATATGTTCCATGTCATTAACCTGTTATTCTATAATAATTTTGACCTGTAGCTTTCTTTGAACAATGCCAATAAAATGTGTACATTTATCTACTTGTTCTGGAAAGGTAACACACATAACAAATGGGTGTCCAAAGGCCAAGGACATCTTAATCAAACCACTGCAGTGAATAAATGCTACTTCTGACTTACTAATACATAAAACATAATAAGCAAAGTGGACATCTTGTTAAAATTGTTATATTTTATTTTTATTACACTAATTCTTTAAATATTTTATAATGATATTAATTCATTACTTCAATTAAAATGTTTTAAGAAGATGAAGTATAAATGACACCCATTATACCAAAGAAGACAGTCTTATGGGAAACAGATTGCAAGTGTCTTAAACAAAAAGTAAGTGGTAGGTCCATGGAATGAGATGATAACTTTATACTCATCCGAACTCTGAACCATGATATATCAATCAACACTGTGAGGGCCCTGTTTGTTTCAGTGTGACCTTTTAATAATTCATGCAACAGGAACAGGTAAAACTTCTATTATAAACAAATAACAGATCCCCAGGTGTTTTAAATACCATTTAATACATAATAATCACTGCTCAGACCTGAAAAAGATCTAAAAAAAAACACTAGGGAAGAACTGATGATGGAAATCAATTAGAAAAGAACTATTCATAGGTTTATAGACAGGTGAATTTCCTTGATCAAATCTTGATAAAACTGCCTCAGGCTGAATAAAACTGCAGTTAAAAGAAAAGGTATACTTCAGACAGGCAACAGTTTAATCTCACTTTAGAAAACTTTACTGGTAAATGTATAGATATAACATGAGAAAATGGCAATAGCAAACTAGTTAATAGAAAATAAAGCAAACTCTACTTTTTATAGCACATTTAGATTTATAGCTTTTGAAAAAGTTATTATTGCAAAATTTAGGCATTTGAAACAAGAGCTGTCGGTAGGACAGCAACTCTAGACTATTCTTAGTGCTTGATAATAAAAAAAATGCTTGATAGTGTTACCTCCTCCTGTTTACAGGTTGGGGTAATGATGGTGAACAAGTGTGCAAAGTTTCAAAGCCATATGTCAATGAACTTTGAAAATATTTAAGGTATTACAAAAACTTTAACATAAATTCTAAGTCGAAAAAGGAGCATAATTCTGTCAAAATGCTTGATAGAGTTACCTCCTCCTGTCTACAGGTTGGGGTCATAATGGTGAACAAGTGTGCAAAGTTTCAAAGCCATATGTCAATGGACTTGGAAAATATTTAAGGTATTACAAAAACTTTAACATAAATTCTAAGTCGAAAAAGGAGCATAATTCTGTCAAAATGCTTGATAGAGTTACCTCCTCCTGTCTACAGGTTGGGGTCATGATGGTGAACAAGTGTGCAAAGTTTCAAAGCCATATGTCAAAGGACTTTGAAAATATTTGAACTATTACAAAAACTTTAACATAAGTGGTTACGCCGACGCTGACGCTCGGGTGACTGCAATAGCTCTACTTATTCTTATCGAATAGTCGAGCTAAAAATGATTAACTCCTAATCTGCTCGTGACTTCATCTATATGTACCTATGCAACCACAGCAAATCAAGATGAGCAGGCACATCATAAATTTTAAGTTGTTTTTTTAATCCCAGAAATATATAACATATACTAGTCTACCTTCAAATTAGAAATATTAACTTACTTATGATAATCTTAAGAGGGATAATTCATGTTCACTATTCCGTAGAATTTATTTTGAAATTGTCCCTAAAAAGATGAATGATTTGTCCAGATTGAAAACTTTAATATTTAGATATTTAGTATGGTGAGGATTACTGTTCATTTTGATATATTTAGTCATTTAAAAGTACATGCATGAAATACTGGCAGACACGTAAAGCATTTAGAAGTAACTTTCCACATGTTACTGTGACCAAAATATTGAATTTATAACTTTAAACAGTAATGGACTGCTATGAATAGCATTCAAAAGAAAATCAACCTATAACTAAAACCTACAGACACAATATCCTTTCCATCAAATTTTTGTTAATCTTCTAAATATAGCGATTTGAAAACTGCCAAAATATCATGCTACATCTATATTTCAGTACAAATCTTATCAAATAATCAAAACACATCTGTAGTAGCAAACATGTTAAACTGGTAAAAAAAGGGAAACTTTTATTGGGTCTTTTACTTTGGATTTCTGGCACTCTTTGAAGTACAGGATAGGTATAACAAAATAACAGTGCTTTTTGTGAATATAAAGAAGAAATGTGTGCACAAAATGTTTCAGACTGTGTTAACCTACTGGGGGTGTGAGGGAAGGAAGCCACAAGCTAATTAAATCATAACTTGCATCCAACAAATGTGATTAAAATATAAGTGTTTTTTTTTTCTTCATAAATGTAAAATTATGTAGAGTAAAAGTGTATATGCAATTCATTCAGTTTGTCACAATTAGCTCAAAATGTTAATTTACCATCAATATTTGAATATTACAGTAATGTTCTAGCTCTTATGGATTAAAGTCATCAACCTTAGTCTAACAGGGATGCCCTAGATATTTTACTTCTTTGAATGACTTAGATCACACAGGTGCAATGTAAAGGTTAAATGGATGAATACTCACTTTTTGTATACTTTCTTTTCAGGTAATCTACTTTGAGATCTTTAAAAAATACAAATATCTTTTTATTTTGAAACATTGGTCACTTTCAAAGTACAGCATGATTGTTAGGTAAAGAGTGAGTGTGTGCATGTGTTTGTTTGACTAAACAGACTGTTTTTCCACATACAATCATTGTTGGTAAATAAAACATATGCAGGTTTAAAATGACCAGTAAGTGTGTGTAGGTTGGATTTGAATGCCTTTGCTTTCCTATATACCATCATGGCCGGTAAGTTAAGTGTGTGTAGGTTTTATTTCTTTTATTTATTTTTTTATTTAACATCGCACCAACACATTATAGGTGCTTAAGTTTTACATCGCACCCACACAGTGTAGGTCACATGGAAACTATCCAGCTATTTTGGTGGAGGAAGACCTCAGGTGTTCTTCCATGCATTATTTCAGGCACAAACAGGCAACTAAGTAGAACAAACGATGTTCCATAAGCTGTCTGGATAGCTTCCTAACAATAAAGAATAAAAAATCCCTGATGGGAATTCAAACCTACAGCAGTTAGGGGAAAGTGGTATGAAGTTAATGACCTTACCCACTTGACCACAGATGCCCCAGTTTTGATTTGAAAGCCTTTGTTTTTCTTTTTTTCTTTATACCATCAAAACCATTTTCAAATATATCATCATATCAAGTAAGTTAAGTATGTGTAGATTTGATTTAAATGCCTTTGTTTTTCTATACACCATCATGGTCTGTATGTTCAGTATGTTTAGTTACATTTTGGCTGATTTTACTTATATACCTATATAACCTTATAGTTACTGAGGTCAGCGTGTGTAAGTAATTAGTTTAGCTGACTTTGACTGTGTCATGTAAGCTGCAATTTTACATTTCAAAAACAAATATAGGTAATTAATTTACCCATAATTCCTTCATCGTCTTCCTCCCCCTCTGACACATGTAACTTTGGTAAAGTTTCTGTTTCCATTGCAACATCAGAATCCTCGTTCATATCAACGTTGTCGTTACCATGGTTATCATCTATATTTGGATCTGTATATGTGTCATTTGAGTCTCGGTAATCATTGATCGTTTCTAGAGTTAATACATTTGGAAGCTCTTGGACTTTTTCACAAATTGTTTTAAATTTTTGATCTGCTGTATCCTCATCATTGACATTTGTGTCTGAAAGGTCAACCAAAGTTGTACAATTTCTAGATAGTTATCTCCTCTCAGATTCTTACTGAAATTTTCATAAATTATCAGGGTTTTTTTCCATTCCATTAAATAATTCCAGGAATATGTAACATAATTATACTACCTTCAAATTAGAAATATTAACTTACTTATGATAATCTTAAGAAGGATAAAACATAACTCATGACATTTTATAGGACACAAGGGAAACAACTTGGTCAGAATTTGTATTTCATTCTTTTTTTATTATGTCCCTTAGTAAAACTTTTCTTTTCAGTAATGTTACTTCATTACAGAACAAACCGGAACAGAAGTTATGAAGCAATTCTATGTCAATCTAAAAGAAATATTTTTTTGCCCAGTTAGAAGAAAAAAATGCAATTTAATTTATTTTGAGACAATACTTTACAAAGAAAGTCAAATAATTAGTGGTTACAGCTCAAAATTTTAACAAATAAACCATCAAGCAGGTATGTTACCAGAATTATAATGGTCAGCTGGCCAGTCAGTCTGCCACTGTCTAGATATACTATGATCTTCGTTCTCTAGTTGTTTCTGTACACCTTGTAACACTATAATGTCTTCCTCTGTAACAACAAACAAATAGTTTTCAGTTTTAGTGACACATTCTACTGTACAGATAAATACATACATTAAATAAACAGTAAAATAACCAATACTGGTCTTATATATCAAAAATTAAAGTTATTATACTTTAAGGGCTTTAACACAGGTTTTATAAATACAAGAGCGATCAGTGATCACATGTGTCGCCTCATGATGGCCAATTTCATGTTGGGACAAGTTTTGTGACAGACAGACAGTGCACAACTAGACTTGGTGCTGATCATTCCTGTAAAGTTTGGACAAAATTGCACCGAACAAACTTTAAAAATAAAAATTATTAAACAGGGGTTGACACTAACTTTTAAGCGAGGAATCCCAACAGGACATCTGTTTTTGAATTCAAAAATCCCTTCCCTAAGTAGGGAGTCCCTGATTTTTTTTTTATATAATTATAAGAATTAAGCAATAACCTTTGTCTATCAGTATTGATATGCAACTTATTTTTATTGTTCTTTCGTTCTACTTTATGGGATGTTGATCATTGCCCATCTGTATTAACATTAAGTAATTAAGGAACGAAATCGTATTATGTTTCCTTCCAGCATTATTAGGTTTGGTAACAAAATCATACATGCAGTTGGAAGTGTTTATAGGTCTTGTAAAATATGTCCTAAATATTACTGACTTCAATACATATAATTTATTTTGTCCCTTTGTCTGTAGTTATGCAGTAAGTAATTGTCATTTGATATTATAATATTGCTGTATTAGGTCTACTTGAATCAGTGTAAACTAGTCAAGAGAAGAAAATGAGTTATTGCAAAAAAGCTTTTTTGCTCATAATAAATTCCAATTTATATAATTCCTTTACATAATGATATCAATGTCATGATAACAAAGACAAGAACAAGTTATTATTATTGCATTTAAAAATTATCACAAAATCTGTATATAATTATTATTAAAAAAAAAAAATCAAAAAAATCACGCATTTGAATTTGCTTATCCGAAATCTATTACACTATTGATTATGGAATTGCCGACTTTTTTCACAGTGTAAGTGTTCTAACACCATAGTAAACATCAAATAATAAACAAAACTAAATAAAACAAATCATTTTTACTATGGTGGTTAAAAATACAGCAAAATATCGACAAATACTGACATTGGAATGTTTGGTATGTGGAGAATTTTTGTGTTTTGTAAACAATGGTTCATTTCCGGTTTACTTTTTGCAAGTTTATCATGTTTAATAAATACTTTTTTGCAAGATTACCATCTTAAATGAATACTTTAAAGTTGATTAAAGATCAGTTTTAATTGTTTAGTATATTTTTTATTTAAAAACTTTAAAGTCCCAACGGGACATCTGACTTGGAACTTAAGAAATCCCTTGCCAATTTTTGGAGTCCTCGGGACCGCGGGACTGCGTTAGTGTCGAACACTGTTAAAGGGCCATAACTCTGATAAAAATCATTGAACCGGAAAATGCTGACAATCTGCACAACTAGACTTGGTACTGATCATTCCTGTAAAGTTTGGATGAAATTGCACCAGTAGTTTATGAGGAGTTTATGACAAGTTTTGTGACAGACAGACACACAGACGACGAAGAAGTGATCCCTATATGTCGCCACTACTCCGTAGAGGCGACACAAAAATTGTACTAAGTACTTCATTACTATACTACTTTGTATGAAAACAAACTTTGCCAAAGCAGCTGTTTTAAGAAGACATAAATTTGTGAATTTTAAATTACCAAGATAAATGAAAATGAGAATTAAATTACATTATCACAAAATCTTACATTCTAATTTTCAGATGTAATAGAACTTGACAAAAAACAGCATGCCATCAATTTAATAGATCTACTCATTTTAAGGGATGTTTTTTTAAAACAAATATTATCATAAAGTACCTATTTACACAAACAGGAAGTTTTTACTATTTCATAACTTAATAACATGTGATTTTATGTAAAAGACTTTTGGGAAAAAAATACAACAGGTTTTTTTTTCTTCATATAAGTCTTTGGCAAAATTAAGAAAAGTGGATAACTACATGTAGTTTGAACTTTTTAATAAATGAATAAAAAATAATCTATTAACTATTTCTAAGTATTTTTCTTTTGGCACACTTTATATGTATCTTAAGTTTAGCCCTTGACATGCTCCAGAATGTCTTCTTAAAACCTATTGATCCTTTATGTTATAAGAGTATGCTTAACAGAAACAATCAGTTTCTGTTCTTAAAGTTACAAGTTCTCTAAAAATATCCTCAAGTCGATCAACTTGTATAGTAAATTTAAGTGGAGAGACTTGGTATTGAACCGCAACAAATACATTTCTAGTTAACCATTGGTTTCATTAGACCACATGCCCATACTTGTTAATCTGTTAAATTTATTTTATTTACTACCTGTTAATTTAAGTTAAAAGACATTGTTTCTTATCATGTTGAGTGAATTGTAAAGAAAATAATAATGATAACCAGCAAACTATCTTTTTTATCAACATAAATATTGTTGTCAAACAAACTAGAATAATATGAAACAACCCATATATCTATTGCAAAGAGTTTGGTGGAATTTGAACGAAGATTAGAAATCAACTTATAAAAGCTCTCGGTTCAGAGACAATGTCGAAGATTCATTGACGCAGGAAAATATCAGGTTTCAGCATAAGTGGGCACCTAAGAAGAACCACCAACCTTCCTTAATCAAACTTCCACAATTGAAAGAATCCAAAACCACTGGAAGGATCTGGACCAGCAGTGATTTTAGGCAAGTGATTTGAATCAATTAACATAACTAATCGGCCCTCGAAACCCACACTCTCTGAAGAAAAATGATCAAGAGCATGATAATTACCAATAGTTCTTTTATGAGTATCAATATTTGAGGTCAAGGTCACATCACCGGTATCTTGAGTCTGTATAACACCATCATCTGTTACCAACCAACGTCCTACTGGCATTAAACTGTGTATATTGTATCTAAAAATAGAAATAGCAATGGTTAACTAAAAGTTTGAAACCCCATTCTGAAAAATTCTTTCAAACAGAAAATCAGACATCTTAAAAAAGAGCTGTCAGTAGTACAACATGGTCATAACTTATCACTGTAATTTGTACACCAACAGATCAAGTGTTAGGAACTTCATTTAAAATTTAATCTTTTTAAGACTATTTCAAGCTCTTGTGACCTATTTGTGTATATAAGACTTGGACTATTTGTATCATTTGTTGGTTGAAGGCTACCTAAGGTTTGTACTTTTTTGTTTTTGTTTGTTTGTTGGGTTTTACGTCAAACCATCACAGCATAGGTCATATGGTAACCTTCCAGCTTTACTGGTGGAGGAAAACCTGCATTATTTCAGGCACAAGTGGGAACCTGAGTAGAACCACCAACATTCTATAAGCAAGCTGAAGAGCTTCAGCACGTGAAAGAATCTAAAGTCCCTCATGGGATTTGAACCTACAGCATAAATTTTGGTAAAAATCTACCAAGAGGTTAAGGAGAAGATGTTGATCACAAGAACTGTGAATAACAACAAGAGCTGTCACAGGAGGCAGCGAAGCTCGACTAATAAAATACTGGACGCAGTAAGGAGGACAAAACTATGAAAGAAAAATCAATTATGTATAATCATGTATTAAGTTATAGTAAAAAAATAATATTTGTTAACATAAATTCAAAGATCAAGGGGAATAATTCTAGAAATAGTCATGCTAGAGTTATGGACCTTGTCAAACAACATTTGTGTAATGATAAGAAATACATTTGAAGTTTGAAGTAGATACCTTAAAAAGTAAAGAAGTTATTATATTTCTTAAAGAAAATCCTAAGTTCAAAGAGAGATAAATGTGTAAATATTACTTCAAGAGTTATGAACATTGTCACATTAAATGTAATTGATGATAAGGAATAAGTATTTGAAGTTTGAGGTAGATACCTTTAAAAATAAAAAAGTTATAATAAAAAATAACATTTTTCTAGTAAAAAAATCTAAGTTAATTGGGAGATAATTCTTGCAATATTGGTGCTAGAGTTATGAACCTTGTCACATAAGATGTGGATGATGATAACGTAAATATATTTGAAGTATGAAGTTGATCCCTTTAGAAATAAATAAGTAACAGTAAAAAAAATATTTTTTATGGAAAATTCAAAGGGAGATAAATCTGAAAATATTGGTGCTAGAGTTATGAACCTTGTCACATAAGATGGGGATGATGATAACGTAAATATATTTGAAGTATGAGGTTGATCCCTTAAGAAATAAAGAAGAAACAGTAAGAAATAGTACTTTTTGAAGAAAATTCTAAGTTCAAGGGGAGATAAATCTGAAAATATTGGTGCTAGAGTTATGAACCTTGTCACATAAGATGGGGATGATGATAAGGTACATATATTTGAAGTATGAGGTCGATCCCTTAACAAATAAAGAAGTAACAGTAAAAAATAGTATTTTTTAAGGAAAATTCTAAGTTCAAGGGGAGATAAATCTGAAAATATTGGTGCTAGAGTTATGAACCTTGTCACATAAGATGGGGATTATGATAAGGTACATATATTTGAAGTATGAGGTTGATCCCTTAAGAAATAAAGAAGTAACAGTAAAAAATAGTATTTTTTAAGGAAAATTCTAAGTTCAAGGGGAGATAAATCTGAAAATATTGGTGCTAGAGTTATGAACCTTGTCACATATGATGTGGTTGATGATAAGGAACATATATTTGAAGTTTGAAGTTGATACCTTAAGAAATGACAAAGTTATAGTGAAAAATATTTTACTGCACCAAAACTTTAATCTAAAATCTGGACGCGGACGCGGACGCCGACGCCGGGGCGAGTAGGACAGCTCTCCATATACTTCGTATAGTCGAGCTAAAAAACAACAAACTACTAACCTTGTAAAACTCTCAGCATTGAGTGTGTAAGTTAGCTAAAAAAAAAACAGGTAAAGCATTTTGATTCAAGATTAGCAGAAATTCTAAAATTTAAAAAGGCCTAGGAAATGTAGGCAAACATACTCAGAAAGTAATTCTGCTAGACCATCAAATCCATTCTCTATGGCAACATCTTTTGGTAATTGTCCGTTCTTATTGTGTAATTTGAGACACTGCTTGCTGCCCGGTTTTCGGAGAAGAAATGTTGCTACTTTGGCAAGACCCAGTCTGGCAGTAAAATGCAGAAGAGATTCTCTGGGTGGTGGAGTATCTGTGACAAGATAAAATAGTGCAAATATATGAATATTCACAGTAACATACAACTATATGACTGATTAAATACAGAATATGAATGATTGAATAGAAGATATTATGTCAATTGTATATTAATACAGATCATATTTCACATATAGGAATTACAATATATTTCCAATAAATCACTTTTGAGAAATAAGCTATAATCAATATTTGATTATGAATATTTTTTTCAACTTTTATTTCATTCATCTTTGATTTCTTACAAACTGTATTGTGTTGAAATCTTACTTCCACTGTAATACTTGTTGACGACTCTTGATATCAAAATATTAACCAATTGTTTTAAGTTCCCATAACTATAATTCATTTTAAAATAAATCTGCAAAATTCAAGTAAGAATAAGATATTCATGAATCTACCCATGCAACCAGTAGAGACCAAGATCAGCTGGCAAATCCTTGCAGTCTGATCATGGTCTGCACTGTTGGCTGTTCAGTTTATACATTTTTCTTAATTTTCCCCAAAAATAATACATGAAAACGGTTTTGTCCAAATCGAAAGATAGGCATGTCGGTTTAAGATATTTAGCATGGTAAATGTTAAATAAAACAAACTGAACAAAGATTTATTAAGAATAAAAAAAACTTATTCTTTTTTTTCCTTTATCTTAACTACAGTGTATGCAAACGTTCACACATATAATAAAAAATTTTCAGTTCTATAAACAACTGTAGCCTAGGTAATTACAAAACCACTATTCTAATACATACTTTTCTACTTAAAGGGAAAAAACAAGAACAAAATTAACACAAATCTCTAACTTAACCAAGCCTTGTGCTATAAGGTTACATGTATCATGTATTTACAACAACATACTACACACCTATATCTAGCGTAGCATACCTTTTGCTACTTTTTTTCACTATATCATTTCCAAATTAACTATTTTTATAGTTTTCAAATAATTTAACAAGTTTAATTTTAATTAATTCACCTAGTATGAAAAAACAATCATATGATTTGAAACTGAAACTAGGAGAAGGTTTTCAGGGATATTATCTTAATATGTCACATTACTCATGTTTAATTATAGTCTAAATGTGATGTTTAAGGTGAGGGTTGATGATAAAATTAAGACAGACTCAATTATTACATGTCCTGTCAATGTCCATTGTTGATTAACAAAAGTTCAAAATCATATTTCAATAAGGTGTTTGGTATACACAAATGCCCCTTGCCAAGATTCTTGTCAGTAACTAATTTTCCAAAAAGCTTTACCCATTTACTTCGGGACAAAAAAAGTGAGGGCAGGTACAGCACAGGTTGCATTAATTAGGCTGCCACTGCCATCTCTAGCTTTCTACAATATATCACAGTTTACATAATTATATAAATATGAGGTTTTTATAAAAAAAATTATCATAATGTCTTATAATTCAATAAAAATAATTTTCCCCTCATAATTCATGATCAATGGAGGGTTCTGTTAGATATAAGATGCTTTTTGCTCCTTTATTTTCTTTGTTTTTGTTGTTGTTGCTTTTTTCATGGGGACAAGTTAGAGATGAAAATGACTCAGTACACCTACTTATATTAAACCAGTCACATGATACAATTAATATGACATAACTTCTATATAAATATCTATGACACTTATCCAGGTAAACAGTTATAAACAGCTCATGAGAAATTAGATGCATAATGTTTTTACTTAACATTTTGTATGTATGAAATAAAACCTCATTTCAAACAGAAAACCATTTTCTGTTTACTACTGTTTATCTTTAACTGTAGCAAAATTTAATGCTGTTTTGTAGGATGCTGTATTGCAATGTACTGTAATGTAGGAAGCAGTTTTACAATAATGCTGTATGGTAGGATGCTGTATTGCAATGTACTGTAATGTAGGAAGCAGTTATACAATAATGCTGTTTTATAGAAAGCAGTTTTAAAATAATGCTGTATTGAAGGATGCTGTATTGCAATGCAATGTAATGTAGGAAGCAGTTATACAATAATGCTGCATTGTATGATGCTGTATTGCAATGCAATGTAATGTAGGAAGCAGTTATACAATGATGCTGTATTGAAGGATGCTGTATTGCAAGGCAATGCTATGTAGGAATCAGTTTTACAATAATTCTATATTGAAGGATGCTGTATTACAATGTACTGTAATGTAGGAAGCAGTTTTACAATAATTCTATATTGAAGGATGCTGTATTACAATGTACTGTAATGTAGGAAGCAGTTATACAATAATGCTGCATTGTATGATGCTGTATTGCAATGCAATGTAATGTAGGAAGCAGTTATACAATGATGCTGTATTGAAGGATGCTGTATTGCAATGCAATGTAATGAAGGAAGCAGTTATACAATAATGCTGTATTGTCGGATGCTGTCTTACGATGCAATGTTATGTAGGAAGCAGTTATACAATGATGCTGCATTGAAGGATGCTGTATTGCAATGCAATGTAATGTAGGAATCAGTTTTACATTAATGCTATATTGAAGGATGCTGTTTTGCAATGCAATGTAATGTAGGAAGCAGTTATACAATAATGCTGTATTATAGAAAGCAGTTTTAAAATAATGCTGTATTGAAGGATGCTGTATTGCAATGCAATGTAATGTAGGAAGCAGTTATACAATAATGCTGTATTATAGAAAGCAGTTTTTCAAAATGATGTATTGAAGGCTGCTGTATTGCAATGCAATGTAATGTAGGAAGCAGTTATACAATAATGCTGTATTGTAGGATGCTGTATTGCACTGTAATATAATACAAAATGCTACAAAACAGTACAGCTTCACTGAAACACAACTTGCTATGTTACAATTTCACTTAAATAAAACTTTTAACATTCTAGTAAAACTTACTTCATAGCAGTTTAAATTTATCTACAATGAAGTTTTACTACAGCTATACTACATTACAGTTTCAATGTATCAGTATTACAATACATTGCAAATTCAATATATCGCAATTTCATCCCCTTACCGTTTTCAGAATCTGATCCAAGCAATGACCACCAATCTGGAAAACTGCCGTAAGTCAATGCCCTGCTAAGTCTATTATCTAAGGAAGACAACTCTTCATCTGCCACGTTAAAATTGTCTCCCTTGATTAACTCCAAATCATCAAGTGAATCTGAACTAATCACACTGTCTATGAGAAACTGTGACAAATATAAAGCACTGTCGCTGTTAAATGTAAAAGCACTAGTCACTAGGTTAGTTGATTTTTCATCATGAAATTCCACAACAGTTAATTTAACTTCCTCCACAATTAGGTGTCCTGAAAAAGATTTAAAAACAAACTGAAATTTTTTACAATACATACAGTACACAGTAGTGTGGCGAATGATGACTAAAATTTATATCTCTTGAAATTGTCTTGAAATCCTTGAAATTAAAACAATGCACTAAGGTTCTTATCTACACTTAAAGCTGAACAGGAATGATTCATAAAAGTAAATGCACAATAATTATTATGATTTAATATACAATTAAAGTAACCTAATTGCACAAATAACCAACTACTTTACTTAGTCTAAGTTTTGTCTGTGAATTCAACAAGAGGGAAAGAAGATAGCTGAGGGATAATGAAGGGAAATCCCCAGACAACTAAGCTGACTTCACAGTTTTGTTGTTGTTGTTTTGTTTCACAAGACAATGCATAAATTTTATTTAAGTGCTTAATGCAAAAATATTATTAGTCATGTCTAACATGATATAATCACTTCAATCATGACTAATAAAATATAATATAAATTAATCTTCTTCAAAAGAAAAATGAACAGTCATTGCTTATTAAACAAGAGCTGTCGGTAGGACAGCATGCTCGACTATTCTTAGTGCTTGATAGTAAAAAAAATGCCTGATACAGTTACCTCCTCCTGTTTACAGGTTGGGGTCATGATGGTGAACAAGTGTGCAAAGTTTCAAAGCCATATGTCAATGGACTTTGAAAATATTTGAACTATTACAAAAACTTTAACGTAAATTCTAAGTCGAAAAAGGGGCATAATTCTGTCAAAATGCTTGATAGAGTTACCTCCTCCTGTTTACAGGTTGGGGTTATGATGTTGAACAAATGAGCAAAGTTTCAAAGCCATATGTCAATGGACTTTGAAAATATTTGAACTATTACAAAAACTTTAACGTAAATTCTAAGTCGAAAAAGGGGCATAATTCTGTCAAAATGCTTAATAGAGTTACCTCCTGCTGTCTACAGGTTGGGGTCATGATGTTGAACAAGTGTGCAAAGTTTCAAAGCCATATGTCTATGGACTTTGAAAATATTTGAACTATTACAAAAACTTTAACGTAAATTCTAAGTCGAAAAAGGGGCATAATTCTGTCAAAATGCTTGATAGAGTTACCTCCTCCTGTCTACAGGTTGGGGTCATGATGGTGAACAAGTGTGCAAAGTTTCAAAGCCATATGTCAATGGACTTTGAAAATATTTGAACTATTACAAAAACTTTAACGTAAATTCTAAGTCGAAAAAGGGGCATAATTCTGTCAAAATGCTTGATAGAGTTACCTCCTCCTGTCTACAGGTTGGGTCATGATGGTACACAAGTGTGCAAAGTTTCAAAGCCATATGTCAATGGACTTTGAAAATATTTGAACTATTACAAAAACTTTAACGTAAATTCTAAGTCGAAAAAGGGGCATAATTCTGTCAAAATACTTGATAGAGTTACCTCCTCCTGTCTACAGGTTGGGGTCATGATGGTGAACAAGTGTGCAAAGTTTCAAAGCCATATGTCAATGGACTTTGAAAATATTTGAACTATTACAAAAACTTTAACGTAAATTCTAAGTCGAAAAAGGGGCATAATTCTGTCAAAATGCTTGATAGAGTTACCTCCTCTTGTCTACAGGTTGGGGTCATGATGGTGAACAAGTGTGCAAAGTTTCAAAGCCATATGTCAATGGACTTTGAAAATATTTGAACTATTACAAAAACTTTAACATAAGTGGTTACACCGACGCCGACGCTCGGGTGACTGCAATAGCTCTACTTATTCTTATCGAATAGTCGAGCTAAAAACTTCTTGGAACATTACAAAAATGCAAATTAAATTGCAAACAAATCATGTATTGCATTATGTATAACCATTTTCTAATTTGACAAAAATTTGTTGCATTTTAAATAATGTATGTTGGGAACCCAAGCATTCACTATTTCGCAAACATGTAAGTGACAGGTTAAATCACGTGTATGTCTGGTATCATATGACATACATCTAAACATTTGTTTCCATGTAGAAGCATGGGCTTTCATGGTAAAGTGGTTAATGTTTGTAAACTTGAATTTAATGTCCCTGTAAGCTGTGCGTTCAAGTCATTAAATTCATCTGAATTCATGGACAGTGACCTTATCAAGTTATCTAATTGAAAGTTCTGTCTGACAAAGCACACATGCACACTGGCATCTGATGTCTTTCAGTTGGAAAGTGACAATATTGTGAAAGTGTGACCAAATATACAACTTAAAACATACAAAACAAACATCCCACATTGTGAAACAACTGCAAAAATGTAGATATTAAGTTAAATATGACCCATGAATAACTTGTGAATGAAAATGAAATACATGTATATCAATTTCTCAGATAAGGTAGACAGATCACATCAGATATTATATTCATGTATAAGTAAATATTTACAGTAGTGTGATTTCACCCTGTGTTATTCCTCCATTGTTAGCTATCTCAAGATGACCTACTTCAACATAATTAACTTAAATTGTAAGCTTATTAGTTGATTAGTAATCCAATAAAATCTATATTTCATATCTCAGTACTCTACCTTCAAAACAAATTAAGAAAAACACTTTCCTTTGAAATCATAATACATGAAAACTTTCATTTACTGACCATATTTGAAAAAAAGATCAAAGTAAAATGCTTTAAAATGCTAGGATGCCAATTTCCCATCTAACAGTTCATAAATAAAATATCCATATCCAAATGTCCTCTCAAGAATAAAAAGTTCATAAACAACAAAATTTTAAAAATATATCTGAGATATATGTTTTCATCTATGTCAAATATAGTTACAAAGAACAATTATACATAATTGATACAAAACATAAGCTATCATGTCCTTAACTTATAACATATATCCATCCATTCTCAGTATCTATAACCAACCCTGTGGCTTTATCTTATGTTTGGATTTAGCCCAGGCTGTAACAATATTTCTTTCATATATTGGCAGGCAGTTACACTAGTACAAGTGTTTCTGGATTCTGTAACAATACTTACATATTTTTCAGCAAATAACTGCCAACTTATACACTAAATCTCGTGAATTATTACTGGAATATGAATCACTTTAAACCAAAACATCATTAAAATAACAATGTGCTGAATAACAAACCAATCTAAACCCAAAGACAGCCATTTTCAAGGTCAGTACAGCACGGGAAATGTTTTGTCCTAACACCAGTCAATGGTTCAAACCTTAGTTTATACAATATTTTATTTAATAAAATCATTTCATTTACATAATAAACAATATAAAATAAATTTTACTGGTTGAGTTGGTTCAAACTTTAAGAGGTGCAACTTATAAATTGTCATAAAGAATTTAGTTAAGGATGTTATAACTACTTATTGATACACTCAAAGCAACTTGCTCTATAACTTCATTGAGGTATGACAATGTTTCATTGAATTCTTGTATATGCCTCAGGCCATTTGTACTTCACAAAATTTCCTTTCTTTTCAATCAAGAAGAAAACTCTTGACATTTAATGAATCACTTATGTAGAACAGAGTGTTCAGGGAATTGTTAGGATGATGCTCTCACTGAAAAACCTAAAAATCTAAAAAGAATCTTGAAAACTCAAAACTTACAAATTGTTCTCTTAATCAGTACACAACTTTCTATTAAGATGACACAGCACTTCAATTCAAACCAAGTAAACAATTAAACCATGTTCAAATGGATGCTACAACTTACATTGTCTTATTGAGAAAAACAACACTTTATATTCCAGTAAATAAAATCCATCAAAAGCTAGTTTCAATATATGCAAATAATAATAATGATAATAATAATAATAATAAGGTAACAATATAAAGTCACTACATTGATACAGGTAATATACGATATCTCTTCTTATTATCAACTACAGATTGATTCTTAAACATACAACTAGTTTGTCACTGGCCTATTTCCCCTGTTTAACAACCATACTATATATTACAGTAATATTTTATTATCACACGCCTTTATTGTGTACTCATAAAATTATGCTGTAAAACCACTAAAAAGTTTACTAGCTTGATGAAGCAAAAATTTGTATAGCAATCTTTGATAATGTTGCACCATAAAATAGAAAACGTAGGAATATTATTGTCAAACTTGTAATAATATTGTATTAATATCTACCTGGCCTTCTTTATCATATTGAGATAACCATCAACACTTGTGTGCTTCAGGGAAGAATGCCTTGACAGTTGTCTTGATTGGGAATTACATATTATTGTTTGAAAAATATTTCTGAGGAAAAACACATCTTGTTTAAAGATTTTCTAGTGCACTTCTGGTATTTTTCAAAAGTCTATATATAGAAAAGACAATCAAAAAGAAACATACTAAATAACTTCAGCAACTTTCCAAACTTCACTGTCTATAAGGCCTGTGTAACCAACAGTAAATATTCTACTATATGATGAGGATAATGGGTCTATCAGGGAAGGATCTAAAATGTTCAATCTGATTAAAACCAGCTCCTAAAACACTCCACTGTATAAATAAGTAGATCTTAACTTTAGTCAGATTGTCAAATTTTACTTGTAGTTTTAATAACAACAACATCACGCAATTTGAGGTCTATAAGCCATAATGAATGATAAAAAACACAGACATTAACAAGTTTTTCAAAAGTTTAACTTCCGATGAATTGAACAAGGCAAGATAAATTGGCAAACAAAATCATTTTTAGTTTTTCGCTTCAGGAAAATAATCCAAAAACTCCAGACAATTTTAGATTTAGCTCAGGCTTGATTTAATAGAGTATTTACGGTAATGCGCTGTATATTTACTTATATATATAAATACTTATAATAATCTGTAAATCTCTAAATAAACTATATTTTAACAAAAGGATTTACAATAATCAGGTGAAAAACCAGCTAATTAACAAACAATGGCCGACCTTATCTGATAATCTAACTACCATTCCTGACTTTGTTCAAAACTGACAGTTAACTTTTGTCACACCCAACAGCTACAGAGATATAAACAATATACAGAATTTTCCTCCACAATAATAAAGACCTTCAAAACACAAAAACAGGGCAATCAATCATCTTTCAAATCTAATTTTAGAGAAATCATGCTTGATGAGAAGTATTATATTACTTGTAACTAGTAGCAAATAAAATTATTTAACCTGACCTGGTGTCGTATATGTGGTCCTCACCTTTTTAATTATAATTTTACAGAGCATAATTATAAGTATAATTGGATAATTTTCAATGATACTGACTGATTAGATACAAAATTGTATAAATAATTTATTTGAGAACTTGCTTAATGCCATTTACAAATATATTTATCAATCTTGTATCTATGAAACTGTGTATGATTCAAAGATCAGAAGTCTGGCACAAAATTTTGTATGTATGTCTCACTGTATGTATGTATGCTTTAACACATGTTCAACCAGTTCTTATGTTAAATCACCCAAAATCTTGATTTCTCTCAAAGCTACAGCTTAATTGTGTATTAACATGTACATGTACAATTTTTAATGATTAGCAATTAATTACATATCAATAAGTTCAAATAATGCACTGCTTTAGATTGGACCTTTTGTCAACAATACATATGTATGTAAACAGTCTGGTCAGACTGGCCGGTGGCAAAGAGGCTCGGAAGGTTATATATGTTTAAAAACTAAACTTATTTCTAAAGAAAATCTTCAATCAACATTATAATTATATATTTCTATCATGGTCTGTCTCTCTTTATGATGTTTATAATTCACTAAACAATGCAATGTAAATGTTAACATTATGCAAATCATCTTGATTAAGATAATAGCTACAACAACACAATGGTTTCCTAATCTTTCTCAGCTATTTGTATGAAAACACCACAGATAATTAAGATTTACTACATTGTTAATTAATATTCATGTCAGCAAAAATGTTGTGTAATTTGCATATAAAAGTATAGGGAAGTTAAGACAGGTTCAGGAATACATGACTCTTACTTTATACAGTGTGAACACATGCTTTGTTTTTAAAACTTCCTGGAAAATTCCTGTACTAATTTTCCCCCAATTAATTGCTTACATATCACTAAACAATTGGCAAATAATCGCAAATAATCAGGTTTGAAATAAGTTGTTGTACTATCTTATATGATATACATGTCTACACACATTGGAGTATGTAATATGTATTATAAAGTTATTTTATCAGACCTAAGTCACCTATGTAAGGCCGTGGAAGGTTTGAAATAGCAACATCATGTGTTTATGAAATACTATATGACAAAATCAATAAGTTCTTTTTGAAACAGTTGAGACACTAGTTATTAACTTTTTAAGTACATGTTCAGTGTATTTTTAAATATAAATGTATAAGGAGGGGAGGCAACTCGAGAGGCAACTCAAGCATATAATGCAAATCATAATGATTAAATAAAAATAATTACAGAATAAACTGAAATGCACGGTATTGTGTACTGGTGTGTCTATACGTATATACCATTACTACCATTTTGAAACACTATTCAACGGAACTAAAAACTGAACTTATCAATTTCAAATACCCCTCAGACTTATTTAGTTTTGTTTAGTGCCAAATTTGTTATCTGAGTGCCAAATTTGTTATCTAACTAATATACATTGGGTGGAAACCCTTTCTTTTCAAAATTAACTTACATAAACTCATCAAGGTTTGTTGAGATAATCTTTAATGACATTATATTTACAAGTAGATCAGAGATTTCTGTAACCATTTAACAGGCAGGTCAGCTTTCAGATCCAGACTTTTAACTGTTGATTGCTCTACTTTACTACTTTGAAATTTACAACGGAATGTCCACTATCATTCAAACCAAAACAAGTCCATCATATACCTTATATTTAAATGAAACATTTAAAATACCCAACATTTCCCAATTATTATCTGATATATAAATTATAACAAGCAAACTTGTGGTGAGCCTGCAAGATAGACGAGTTCATCACAAGCTGTTGGTCAACACCCAGAGATATGCCCCTCTTAAAACTATCCTGATAACAGGGTCAACGTCAACCGGCTATCTGGCCAGCACCAACATGTTATCTAGGCAAAGTCAATACAGTACTTGATGGACAGTCTACAATATCAATATTGGTGCCTATATACTTCAACTAGTGATTTATGTCTAAATAATGGCCCTATCATATAGAAGGACCACTTGAACCTAATTTATAAGATAAGGAAACCAGTATTTCTTTATCCCTATAGGGCTATGTCAAACTTTTTGTATTAAAAGGGGGGTTTTTTACCCCCGGGACTTCTTTCCACCAGACTAAAAAAATTGTATCCCCACTTTTGACAGTAGCAAAATAATTAAATTTTACAAGGCCCTCATGCTTCTGTGTCCCCGGATTTTTCCCAACTTTTTAAAAACATTTCAAAGGGGTAAAAAAATTTAAAACCTCGTTTTTAAAATCATCATACTTTTAAACAAATATAACATGTTTAATTTTTAAAGTATTTACCTTTTCATACATGAAAACTTTTTTAAAAATTCTTTTTTTAAAACTCATTTTATTAAACTCTGCAAAATCTTTTAGTAACAAAACAAGTTCAGGTTTTTGAAAAATTTCAACTTTAAAGTGAAACAATTTTAAAAAGCCCCCTCGTCCGCAGGAAAAACAGGGTTGCCTTTAAAAATTTTTTTGACTCCCGTCCTGGCCCCATATCTATATGAAACGATGTAAAATCAGATTTTGGACTTGTGATTTTTAATGGTAGAGTTAACATCATTATTTCTTCTTTTGGACATAATAAATTATCTACTACTGTGAATTGAACAAACATAAAATAATAGCATTAAAACTTTAACAGAGTGCTCAATAAAATTTAATCAAATTTTTCAAGTGTTCTTCCATATTCTTTGGATTTTCATATATTTATGTAATGAAAAAACATTTATTATAGTAAATTTAACAAAAGTGTTCACATTACCAGGTATAACAGATTGTAGTTTATGCGGTGTCAGTAACTTGGCTGTTGTCAGGTGGCGCTGTTTAGAACCCTCATATAAAACATAATAACATCTCTCTGTAATTAACTCTGTCCCCCTCCGAAAATTCAAATCCATTGAAACCCCCTCCTGAAAAAAATGAAAAACAAAATATGAAACCATGTAAAATGACGAAACAAACCTAAAAAAAAAAATAAAATTTTCCCAACTTCAACATTAAAAAAAATTGATAATTTTTTAAATCTTTAAACCAGCCCTCCTAAAAAAAACAAAAAAAAACCTGGTATGTATAAATTTAAAAATGGGCACAATTTTAAATTGGTATCAAACTTTTTGGTCCCCCCTGAGTGGCAGATCCCTTTCCCACCCCGGGCCACTATTTCCCCTTCAAACAAAAAATTGTATTATTGATTTTTTGTTGACCTTTGGGTGGGTTTCTAAAAAAAGAAACCCCAATAAAAAAAAAAATTTTTTACAAAACCCCTTCCCCATGTTCCCCTTTTGTTTTAATTAAATAACAAATGACTCAAACAGCAAATGGTCAACAAGAAAAGTACTTCCTTAAGAATGACTCCATTATCTATGTAACAAATGTAATTAAATTCCTGATTAAGTTTATTGCCTTAAAACATTAATTACTAACCAAGTTTATAATGACTCATTTGTCTGTACAATTGTTTGTAAGAAAATAACATATCAAGATTTAAGTACTTAAACTAAAAAGAAATTAAATGAACTTTCAATGAGCAACTCTGTTATTAATTAGGTAAGACATCAGGATTTCTTTGATAATGGGGATCTTTTTAAAAGGTACCAGATCCGCAACATTTCAGTCATATATCAGATGTTAGAAATCTTTTATGTCCTAACTTGTAATTCTACAGCTAACTGACAACTTCTTTTCATGTTAGGGTACATAAAACTGTAGATAATGTCGATCATACAGACAACCAAATTGTGCTTGGAAGTATGGACTTTTTAAATACTAAACCCTCAACCAACTGTACTAATTGGAAAACCTACCTGTATCTAACTTGATGTAATATAATCATAATACAAGTATTATGAAATATTAAATAAAACTTACATATACAGGAGCTCCACTTGTTGACAGAGCCATTTACAAAAATCTTCTTGGACAATCTGAATAAAAAAGTTTTTATAATATATATACAATACAAAAGGCAAAAAAAACATTACGTAAAAGAATGGCTTTGCTTGAGATTTGGAACTGTCTAATATCTACTGTCAGGGATAAATTTCAATATTAAAATCCTTATCATTAAGCAGTCAAAACAAAGTTTGATCAGATTGCTGATATTTCTATACAAATTAATGGCCTATCTTTACATGTACCTTGACTCTCTGACTCTCTCTGGTGGATTTAAAGCCAATCAGGAAGGGACAATCAAACTTTGCTACAATTCAATCTTGCATTTTATCATGTATAATAACAAAGATACATGATTTTCCCATTTCTTACTATTAAAACCAGAACAATCAAATATTTAAACAAGGAAAATATTCCCTAATTTATAAAACTGAAAATTTATAAATCCTTTCAAAACAAGAAAAAAATCCTTTAACAAATACAATGTAGTTATTTTTCAAACAAGAAATTGCCTCAACTTATTTAAAAACTTCCTAACTAAGGTGTTCAACATAAAAACAAAATTTTTTCTTCCATTTTTTTTGGGGTGAAATACAAAAAAAGCGCAGAAACACTACTTTTCACATCTAAGAACTGAAAAGCAACATTTTTTCCCTAGATTTTTAACACCCCAAAACACTGTGGGAACCCCTCTTTATATCAACTTGCCTTTAAACTTATTTTTTTTTTCCACATAAATATGCAAAATGAGGCTGTGCAATTTGTTTGTTTGTCTTTGCATTCGGATGTGTTTTGTTATTATATAAAAGTATGTACAGAGAGCTATATATTCAGCATTAAGGAAAATATAAATAACACTCAAAATGTATAACAAATGCAATGTTTAAACTTATTTTGAAATTTTGAAAGTTGTGCTCATTCACCCATGTTAGAATGACAAAAATCTTAAAATCATATCTATTCTGAACATTCCTTTCCATCACCTGTCTTTTATGTTGCACATTTAAAATATTTAATTTTACTATGTAGTTGTATAAATCATTCTGTGTAAAAAGTTGTTTGTGCAAACTGTATGTCTCAGAATAACAACAAGACGATACCAAACAATCATAAATCTAAAATGGTAAACAGCAGTGTAATATCAAATACTAACAAGAAGGTGGTTTAAGCTTAACTTAAGGGGATTATTTAACATCTTCAATATCAATACACTTGCTTATTTTAAGTGTGACCTTGACTTGTGAACATTAGAGATGTTCTACATGTGTACAACCTTACATCTGGTGATGGTGATCATTTGTGTCAAATAAGACTAAGATGCCAAGTACATTGTAATACTTAGATCCCATTATGCATGTAGAAGATAGACTCTGGGTAAAATCTTTGAGATTTTGTTTGTTTGTTCCATTTTACGCCTTTTCCCAACAGTTTTTCAGTAATATAGGCGGGTAGTTTCCAAACCATCATTCCTGGAGAGTTATACCAGTACTAGACTACCTACCTTCCTCCGTGCTAAACTACCAAAGCATGAAGCCATCTCCCTGGGAACGAACCCACGCCAGAGAGGTAACTGGATTAGAAGTCATCGACTCTAACCCCTCGACCACGGAGGCGGTCATTATTCATCTCTTGTGACCTTGACTTTGCACATAATGACCTTAATATTGCTGTTAATACACAGCCTCTTGACTGTGAACATAAGTGATATCATATAATTTCTTAATTCAAGACTACAAAATTGTCCAAGTACATTTTTTTTTTACCTAGCCTTTCACCTGTGTGACCTTGACAGCAGAAACCTAAATTTTGTATGCAACACAGCCTCACAATACTAGTAAACATATGTATCACCTTACATTAAAATCCTAGAATTCATATAGAAGTTTTGCACTTGAACTCTTAAGACCTTGACATTTGATCAAGAGCCCTGGGTTCATGTGTGACACAAAGTCTTTTTGTATTGAACATTTGTGACAAATAACACCTAAATCAAGAAGATATTACACTCTGGACAAAGCTCAGAATGGTGCCTAAAAAATTTTTCTGCCCAACCCCCTTTCTCCAGACCTAAATTTTATTTCAAGAAAAACTTTTTTAAAACTTTAAAAGGTAGCCTCTGTTACAAAAAAATTTTTAAAGAAAGGATCAAAAGAACTTTTACCCCTACACTATGTACAATGTACACAAATTACAGCGAAATGTTTGTTAACATGCAAAAACAGGGAAGAATGGAAGGTACAAACAATAGGACTGATCTATCTGAGGTTCTTCAACCTTAGATTTTGGTTTAAAATCTTATCTGAGAGAATATAAGTACTTAAAAGCTGGAGTACCACTAAATCTTAAATATGTCTTTGATTTGTCACCAGTAAACTACTGTACCCACCCCTCTTATACATCAAATCTCTTCACACTTAAGATATAAATATTTTTACTTTTCATGATATCACTGATGCAAGTTTTCTTTCATTTTAAAAACATCAATTATAATTATTCTTGTATACATCTACATGTACTCTCCAATGCAAAGAATGACAGACATGGATATACTACTACATTTACAGTGATTTTCCTACTTATATAACAGACTCTGGAAAAGGGCCTCTTCCCAATCGAAATTTTCTTTAAAATCATGCAGTTTTCCCAAAAATCTTAACTTAAACCTGTTTTTTTCTTCCCAAATTAGCAATTTAAGCAATAATTTTTCCCAAAATCAAGAGGCTAAGGCCTCTTCCCAATTAAGCGAGAAAAATTACTGATGTAGTATAATGTAAAAGAACTGTAAGAAATATTTTCTTCTTTAAATTAGATGCATGAAAAGTGATTAATGTAAGAGAAGATTTTCTGCACAAACACAGATGCTCACATGCATTTTATAGGAAATGAGATTTGTTTAAATGTTTATAAATACATTTACAATGTCTGTTTAAATGTAATTCAAAACACATATTTTTTTGTGGAAGTTGCAGACTATCACATGTATGCTTTTGCTATTTGTTCCACTGCTGTTCTTCAATTGGTAAATTTGCACATGTAAATATACAGTGAGTGTATATGTATAAATTAATCTGTGGTGAAAAACTTAACCATTTATTTTATAAACGCTAAACATTTTCTAAGCACATGACAATACTTATCACAGATAGGCTCAAAACTCCTATATATAGTACACATTAGGCATAAAAAAGACCTAGTGATATCAGATAATTCAATAATATAACAAATTATAGTGACGCTCCAACATTTAATTGATATTTAAGTGAATTACAATAATGTGAAATCTACAAGGATGCAATTAAGTGACCCTCGACCTAAAGTTTACTACCCTGTTTCATATACAGAAAAGCCTCTTCCGTCATGGAAGTATTTATTCATTACTGTACCTGCTGAGACATAAAGGACATTGGTACAGGACATTGGTACAGAGTAGAAATATTTATTTAATGAACAAATAATTTACAATCAGATCAGATTAAACAAAAGTGGCAATACAAATGTGTTAAAGGGGTTATTGTTGTCATTTGTATAAATGTTTCTATCATTCTATGAATTATTGTACAAACAGGACATCAATATAAATACAAACTTGTCAGATATACACAATAGATCCTTATATATTAACTTTAGATTACTAGCTGTTAAACCATTTGTCCACACAGTTATGATATTGATGATAATTCTTTTGAAATCATTATTCTAAACAAGTTGCTTCTCTAATATCTTGATGAGATGATGTAGAAAATCCCTTGTAGGGTACAGACCTAAAGTTATACCTGAAAAAGTATTTTTAAAATTTTGTCCCAGGAAAAATTATGTAATCAAAAATGTAGTATTTTTAATGTAAATTTTTTAAAAATTTTAGTTTAGATAAACTTTATAATTTTGAATTGGCTTTTTGTTTTGGGTTTAAAACCTTAAAATGTGTATTTTGTAAACATACCCCTGTGGGAGTGTTTTCAATCACTTTTGGGAACAAATTTAAAAAAGGTTCCAAATTTTGGATGGTTTTTTTTTTTATGGCAAATTTTTTTTGCCCTTCCCCCCCTAAAAAAATATGTATTAAAAGTAATTTTTAATTTTTTAACTTTTAAAAAAAAATTTAGCTCTAAGAGTCAAATGTTTTTTAGCTTTATATTATATATACATTTTATAATCAGAATTAAGAATAGTGTGATAGAGAGGGTGACATGGACACTGTAGTTTCTGGACAAATTGTTGATTGTATCACAAACAAGAAATTTTATGGATTTTCATCAACTTTTAAATTGTCCCCTATTTTATACTTTCTGAATCTAATTTCTGCCCCTCATGCCCCTTTCCACCATTTCCATAAAATAATGCATGAACAGATATAATAAGTTATATCCACTAGCATGAGATTCAGGCTACATAATCAAAAGATATTTAAATCAATAAATGAGTGAATCTGCGGAGCTCCAATGAAAAAAACAACCTGAAAGCGCTCTTTCCACCTTGGCCCTGCAAGTTATCACTGCCCTATTCAGACACCGGAGGCTTGTTGTGCTTATACATGTACCTAATTTTATACTAGTTAGCTACACACCTAATTTGATTGATGTTTTGCCTCCTTCTCAAAATATTTCCGCATATTTAAACAGAAACCCTTGTTGTAAAATATAAAACAAAATTTCATGCATTTTGAACAATAATGAATTAAATGATTCTTCAACTAATTTACCAGGACAGGAAGTGACATAAAATTTTGGATACAGCAGGCCCAAAACAGATAAACATAAACCAAAAGTTTAAGACAGTAAAATTAAAGATCATTTCA